TGCTTTCTGAAATCATGGATGTTTTCACCCTGCATGCTTCTCAACTCTTGCCTTGACTTCCTACATGCCTGACTATTCTAACCTCTTAATAATGCCTGGCTTTTCGAGTCCTACCATGTACCTGGTATTCCTTATACTACTGCTATTCACATAAAAAATAGAATAATAATGACACAAACTTTGCCCATTTTCCCTTCTTTTCATGTTCCATTTCTTACACTTTCTCAGAAAAATAAAACACAATAAATGTTCATAGCTGGGTATAATGGTATTCACCTGTAATCCCAGCACCTTGAGAGGCTGATGCAGGAGGACTGCAAGTTCAAGGCCAGCCTCAGCAATTTAGCAAGGCCCTAAGAAACTTAGCTAGAACCTGTCTCAAAAAGAAACAAAAAAAGGTCTGGAGTTGTGGCTCAGTGGTAGAGAACTTGCCTGGCATGTATCGAAGCACTGGTTTTGATTCTCAGCACCACATATAAATAAATAAAATTAAAGTATTGTATCCATCTACAATTAAAAATATTTATAAAATAAAAAAGGGTCTGAGGATATAGCTCATTGGTAGTAGACCCTTGGGTTCAATTCCCTGTACAAAAAAGAAGTCACTCTTCTAAATATTCATAATTGCTAAGGGGTACATATGTGCCAGTCACTCTTCTAAATTCTTTGCATTTATTATCTTATTTAATCTTCATAACACTCCAGTGAAGCAGATACAATCTTTACCCACCCGACTATTACAATGAAGAAATAGAGACACAGACAGATCAAGCAACTTGTTCAAGGTCACACTGCTAGTGCTAGTGATGAAGCCAGAATTCAACTCTGGCTCCAGAGCTTATGCTTTTAAATATCACACTCTTTAGAAGAAGATCAAGGGGGAGGGAGGAGGGAAGGAAAAGGGGAGGAAATGTGGAACGAATTTAACAGAATCACATTATTTGCATATGCAACTATATCACAGGGAAGTTAAACCTTTATGCATATGTAGAAAGCACCAATCAAAAATAAGTGAATGGGGCTGGGGTTGTGGCTCAGTGGTAGAGTGCTGGCCTGGCATGTGTGAGGCACTGGGTTCAATTCTCAGCACCACATATAAATAAATAAATTAAATAAAGGTCTAACAACAACAACAACAACAAAATATTTTTAAAAAATAAGTGAATGAATGAAAGAAGATCAGTAGAGGAAGGAAAATAGGAAGAGGGTGGAAGGAAAGAGGAAAATAGGAAGAGGGAATCGGGACTGAAATGGAGTAAATCAAATGCATAATTTTGTTAAAATGAACCCAGCTTCTATGTAAAACTATACTGCTCTAATAAAGTAAAAAATATTGCATTCTATCACAAAAGTATTCACTTGGAAAAATTATAGAGCCCATGCATTAACTCTTTTGCAAAACAGGGTAACCTATTTTACTCTTGTCAAATCTCCAAGTTTATAGTTCAAATAAACAGAATCTTACCAGCCGCAATGACCTCACTCCAACGACATCCAGGAAAGATATAGCTCCACAATCAAGCACAAGGCTATGGATTGGTACCTTGGGAACATTCACTTTGACTGGAAGCTCAGAGTTCCAATCCACTTGAACCTCAATTTCCTTGGTTGGGATATCAAGTTCTTCAGGATCTTCAATATCTTCATCAGGCTCGAAAGCATTATTTGATGAACCAACATCACTAACAATGCCATTCTAAATAAAGAAAACTCTGCCAACTTAATTGCCATTGATTTGAAATGTCTTCAACCATTCATTTCAAATTATTTAAAAGTCCTGCATACAGTGTTCCTTGGTAAACAAAAATGTCAAGAGAATGAACTCTTTTTTTGTGGCGGGGGTGGGGGGTAGGGATTGAATCCATGGTGCTTAACCACTGAGCCACATCCCCAGCTTTTTTTATTTTGAGACAGGATCTTGCTAAATTAAGTTACTGAATCTGGTTTCGAACTTGCAATCCTCCTGCCTCAGCCTCCTGAGCTACTGGGATTGCAGGTGTGTGCCACCACACCCAGCAAGGGAATGAGCTTTTAAGGAAAGAATTTTACCTCAGCCCAAACTTTGATGTTCTCTAGGAAAAAATGGAAAAAACAAGGAGTCAAAATATTCTAGATTTCTGGAAGATAACAGAACTTTGACAAGAGAGATATTGGTAGGAAAATCTAAGCAGAAGTTAATAGCTCTGAAAGTTTATGAACTTACTGCCTTCTATTGTAATTTTCTGGCATTGAATTATTACTTTTGTTCCTTTAAAATTATTCTTGAAGAAAAATCCTTATTTTTAAAATAAGGTTTTAAAATTAATACAGATGATGTTCATGATGAAAAAAAAAATCACACCCTGTGTTTTGAGGGAGCCCTGCTGGTTTCATTTTATTCCCACCCATTCCTCTTGCCTACAAAGACAGCTCAGCTGTTCTCTGACATACATATGTCATCCGTTCCTATACATCTGGATTCTAAAGGGGATAGATTTAATTTTAGACCATCTGACTACTTTCATGGAGAAAGGAAAAAATTTAAGGGAGAGGGCTGGGGTTATGGCTCAGTGGCAGAATGCCTGCCTGGCATATGTGAGGCACTGGGTTTGATCCTCAGCACCATATAAAAATAAATAAATAAAGGTTTAAAAAAATAATTTTGGGCGGGGGAAGAAAGATGGAGCCTCACCTTTGTTGCCCTTAACTGTCCTTTTTTGATGAGTTTCTGTATTCTCCTCAATGCCTTCAGCCTCTTATTATATACTCTAATGGCATCAAATCCAACCTTTGGAGATAAATGTCAGGTTACTTAAAATGTCTGGTTCCCAATGCTCGTTAGTAGCAATTGTTATCTGAACAGTTATTTCTCAAAAGATATTGTTTCTTTGAGACACCCTGCCAAAAAAGAAATTGTGCATCTGATGGAGTAGATCCCCTCTACTACCAGGTCACCCAACCCCCACCAGAGACTTGGGGAAGACAACAGCATATTAAAAGTTCCAAGAGAGTTAAAAAAAAAAAAAAGACAAAATGGCAAAAAGTAATCTCTTAGCTTTAAAACTCTCTTTTCCAAATTTCCGTTACATCACAGAGCCCTTTTGTTATCTGCAAATTCTATGAACATTCCTCTGAACCAGTTTGCCCTGGAGCTCGCTTAGGAAAACACTGATCCAGAGGCAAATTCCAAGTTCAAGTTCGAAGTTTAGAGATGCTCACATGACTCCTAAGCACCTGACATGATCCTCTTTTCCTTATCCCAGCTGTCTAGTTTGTCCAACTATCTTGGACATCTCTCCCTTCTATGAACATTTTTTCACTTTTAAAACTATTTGTTAATTTAAAATAATCAAAATAAACCCAATATGTGTCAACAAAAATACGTTTTATTTTTAATGAAGGAAACTATTTTTCCAAATAAAAATATTTACAACAGTGGCATTGTTTTGCATAGTTGTTTATCTCTTCGATATCTGCCTTCCCTATCTGCTCCTCTGGGCAGTCTGTTGCACAACACAATTTACATCGCCTCTGGAAAACTCCGCAAAAAACTCTGCAACCGGACCTTCTGCCTGTTGGAATCCCAAAGTCCTAGGCAGCGGCCCAGGGCAGCAGTGCAGGTTCCTGGGGCCACTCCCTGGGCGGCTCTTGGGTGGCTACAGTTCCTTGGTGCCCGCAGCGATTATACCGTCCTGGGAACTTGGCCCAACTCGCCAGTCCTGTCCTGGTAGTACAGCCAGCAGTCCACAAAGGAGCACTTAACACTTTCTATGCTATTTGTTTAGAATTCACTAAATTCTGACTGGACTCACCTCTAGCGTTTTTGCCTGGCAATTGTTGCTAGATTAACATGTGGATTAAAATTCCCAATAGATGGTAAACCACTTATTTTTCTCTCCCTATATAGTTTTTGAGGGGAAGGATATTATATAAAATGTCCATCATAAAAGGAATAGTGCATAGGGCCTTATTCCCAGATGGAGCCCAATAAATAAATGAGTGAAATCTCAAGGTTAGAAACCAGACTTTGAGGGATCAAACACTTACTGTAGACTTGATACATTTTTTAAAACCATCGACGTTGCCATAAAAAATAGGACTCGAAAATCTAAGAATCTTCACTCCTTCAAGTTCTTCAACCTGGCATTTGAGGAAAAAAAAAAAAACTTTTTGAGGTTAAATAATTCTGGCATCAAATCATCCATTAGATTTCTGGTTATTCTGCAAGGAGCCAGGACAGAATTGCTTAGGGGAGCTGGGTAGCAACCTCCAACTATTCTTTTTATTTTTATTTTTTTTGAGAGCTATGTAACAGGATTTACCAGAGTAATAGAAAGAAAGAAAAGAAAGCTCTCAAAGGTGAGAAGTCCCAAGAGATGGATACCCAACACTCAACTTCCCACAAATAGGGACTTGCTTCATCCCATTTGGGAAGTAACAGATGGCCAAAGCTCCGGGACTTCCACAATACCAAAAAAGATCAAGTCTGAAAGGGCACAAAGAAACTGGGGCTCAAAATGGTGAAATGATTTGTCTCCAGTTCATACCGCTGACCCTCTAGATTTTTCTAAAATTCTTTGAGTAGTTTGGGAGGCAGGGGGCAAAATCAGGGTTTTGTAGAAACTGAAGCCTATGGTGTCATCTGCTTATTCGTACCCTGACACACAGTGGCCATGCAAAGAGTAGAATCCACAGAATCAGAATCAGGCTTTTCTGTTCTTTAGGAATCATAGCAGTATTAATCTGGCCCTTTTGGGTGAGAAAATTGAGGCCCTGAAAGGCTGAGTGACTTGGACAGTCTCACCAAGATGGAGCCTAGATTTTAGAACTCCCAAAATTCAGGCTAGGGTTCCCTGCGCCAGAGTCCAAAATCATTTTTAGCTCTTGATGCACTTGGTTCAACATAACAAAAAGATTGTGAAAATAAAATAGCAGCTACAGAAATTCCAGGTTCAGTGTCCAGTAATTCTTTAATATTAACATAAAATTAGACTATAACTTCCTAGGGCTCACATTTAAGCCTTATATGTTACATATGTGCACATATGCATATATACATATACACATATAAATATGCATAAGTATGGTTTTGTTTTATTTGTTTGTTGCTAAATTTCTGTTTTCTTTAATTTACTTTTTCCACTTTTTCATCTGTTTCCTTTAGTGGTCACTAAGAAATTGTATTTGCTGGCAACACAAACCCATCAGCTTGATTTGTTTGTTTTTCATTTCCTGTGTCCCAATATTTCTTCCAGTTTCAAGGATAAAGCAACATATCAAATAAGCTCTTGATGACAGAGAACTTGAAAATCTCTTGCTAGAACTGAAAGAAGAACATCTTACAGGGATTTCAGGCATTTTCATAGAGGCTGACAGTTACATAACAAAGAAAAAATTTTTTGAGTAAACATTCGGGAATAATCAAATTGCCTATTATTTAAAATTTCTTCCTGCAATGGTTTTTACATTAAAATGACATTCAACTAGCACAGACTTCAAATAATCCATTGTCAAAAGATACATTGAATCAAAAGTTCTTATGACATTTCCAGTATACTAAGGACTTTCCCAGCAGAAGTCTCCATCTTTGACTACCATGTTATGAACATGATAAGAGAGAACTATGTGACTCCTGGATTGCAGGCTAGCAGACCCATATCTACCAAAAATATCACAAAGGCACTTACATTTTTGTAATGCTTGATACTTTTGTAGATGTCTGTACTAGGGATGCTTCCAAGGCCATTCCATGAAGGACTAAAAGAAGAGAAGTTAACATCAGGGGTTTTTTGGAACAGCCATATTTTGCACTAAGAAGTTGTTTTTTTTTTTTTTTTAAATAACAGCTACTGAAGAGCCCATCATTCTGGTGTTTTGGACTCTGTCTTTATTGCAGGTGACATTTTCCCAAAACTAACTCTGAAATGAACAGCTGGTGTTTTCGTGGAACTGGAAAAGGAACTAACTGTGACTCTCTTCTGATAGCTCAGAGAAATAATGAGCATCATGCTTTCACGTGCCTAACAATTTATAGGATAAGCAGAGAGCTTTCTCACATGTTAAATCTATTTGAAGCTCTACCATAACCTTGAAAGATCAGTGGTGCAATTCTTACTTTTATTATTGAGTAAAATGAGGTTTAGAGAAATTAGAAAAGTCCCAGGGGTAAAGAACAGCATAGCCTCTGTCTCTTAACCATGTTTCTTTGGTGTCTGGTGACTTATGGCAACTTCCTGATGAAATATGGAGAATCTGCAGGTGAACAAATTAGTCTCTTTTTATAGAAACAGCAGCCTGGGAAGACCAGAAATAAGTCCTTCCTGTCAACCAGACTGTTGATTTCCTGTTCCCAATGCAATCAGATAAATTCCACGTTTCTTCAAGTGTGACTAGGGACATATGCTAAATGCAACTCCTAAAGAAAGACTATCTGTTTGGGGTCCTTTCAGCATTGTGCTTTCTGGATCAGCATTATAATTACTGAAAATTAAATACTGTGGAGTATACTACTTTTTGATGGCTAAAAGTCTAGTTACCAAACCAGCAGCTAAAATGTACCACCAATTTTTCCTTGGCCTGCTGTGTTGTGCTGATCTTTAACATAATACTCTTAATGTAGTCTTCCTCTCCAAAACCCTTCTGTCTCAACCACACTCACTTAAGAAAAGAAAAAGACACTGAGGCAGATATAGGAAGAGACATAGCATTCCCACACCCTCTTTTCTTTCTTTTTTTTTTTTTTTTTTTTTTTTTGCAGCACTGGGGATGGAACCCATGGGTACTTTACTACTAAGCTACACTTCAGTTTGTTTTTATTTTTTTATTTTGAGACAGGGTCTTGCTAAGTAGCTTAGACTGGTCTCAAACCTGCAATTCTTCTGGCTCAGCCTCCTGAGTCCCTGGGATTACAGATATATCTACTTTGCTTGACTGAAAGGCAGCATCTTCTAATGGCAATTTCTGAGCTATTTCCTAGCAGAAAATGAGGCACTCTGGAACATTATGTGCCCTTTCAGGTCCCTGGGCTCCTAGGATGCTGAGGCAGAAAGCCACAGGCCTTTTGAGTAGATGTGAAGTGCTAGGGAAGGGAGGGAGGATAAGAAGAACTGTTGAAGGAATAGGAGATGTGAGCCTTTGCTAAGCTGAAAATATCTATGTTGATGTTTTTCCAGGTTTCTTCTTCCTTCATGGCCCAAACACAGGCAGAGAAGAGGCCAGAAATCTGGAAAGACAATGGGAGAATTGAGGAGAGAGAGAAGCTCTGTTTCCCTCAAGGCCCAGGAGGACACATTACCAAACCCTCTCCAGAGTCAAAATAAAACCAAGGACACCTTCAAGCTCCCTGACCTGCCCATACAGATTGTTTTCCTTTATTTAACTTGTCTTTGCTGCTTTTACTCTGTATATGAACTAATTATGTTTACTTCTCAGAATTGTGTGACTTTGGGGTTTGTGCCTTATTTGACAGATTTGAATGAATTTTGGCTATAATTAGCTGTTCTAAAGTTCCCCTGTACTGGGTTGCATAACTTTTGGGTTACTAGCTTCAAAAGAGGAAAATGAGCTATAAATTTAGCAGTTGCTTTGCCTGGCCTTGGACCCAGTGCCCACCTTGCATCTTATTTAAAGAAAAAATGACAAAGTAACTTGGGACTTTGGCTGAACCATGTTTCTTTTAGTCTGACCATGGCTAAAAGGAGAGCACAGCCGTGGAGCATGTGACTACATGCCTGGACTTTGGGGTGAGGTAATCTGGGTTCAAATCTTAGCTCTGCCAGTTGGTAACTGTGTGACCTTAGGAAAGGTCCTTTGGCTTTCTGAGCCTAAATTTTCTAACCTGTAAAATGAGAATAAGCCATCTTATTCATAGGATATTTTTGAAAATTAAGTATGGTAAAGTTTATAAAGCACTAGGTGCTTAATTCATAGAATCTCTCAATATATAATAACTATTATCAAAGGAAGAAGTTTCATGTAAACATAGGAAAGTAGAGGAAGTGTTGTCCCATTCATAGAAAATCTGGATTTTAAATACTCACAATTGAACTCGCAGGACCACGGTCAATAGTCCAAATAGAAGGCCAGCTAGTAAGCCCAGGTCCAACCCCAGAATGATGGACATGATGCATGTAAATACCCAGATAACCTATAGGGGAATGGAAATGAAAAGAATTACATTGATTCATAGGATACTGTCAAATGTTAGGCTACCTATAACAATAAAATCAATCATTCACAATTATACCTTTTAAAAAATATTCTGACATCATTCATTTTATCCATCCATTTATTCATATTTAAGTGAAACTGGAGTTGGCCTTCCCAATACATTTGTTTTTAAATATTTGAATAGGGCTCAAAAGAGAATTAATTTTAAGAGCTTTACAGTGAAAACTCTTGCTCACAATTTCTCTCCTCTCTCCACCCATTCCCAATCACCCTCCCTGCATGTAGTCTCTTCATTTTTGTGTGTATGAGCACACGAGCACACGCGCACACACACACACACACACACACACACACACACACACACACACACACACACACTTTTCCCCAGCATTTCTATTCTGGTCTCTTTTTTACACATCAATATATAGGAAGTTTTCTCTGTGCATGTGTGTGTCTAAATTAGAGTAAACTGTAGAGGACTCATTTCTGGCTTTTGTAATTCCTCAGAATAGTTGTGAAGGACACTTTAGTCACAAAATCAGCATGGGGTTTTGTATTTTGTTTTTGTGTGTGTGTTTTTTTTTTTTTAATTTGTCCTTTAAACTAGATTTTAAAGAAAATGTGGTGTGTTGTGTTTTGCTTTGTTTTGGCTTGAGAAGGCCCAGGGCCTTATATGGGATTCTTGTTAGAAATCAGTCTTCTCAGAGATAAAGGAGCTTCACTAATGCAGTTCACATAGAATACATCAAGGCTTTTGTTTATACACACAATTCTAATTTCTGCTCTGAGGTTTCCAAGATTTAGGAAACGGGGAGACTTAGTGATATGACAGGAAGCATACGAAAACCAAATCTTATTTCAGAGAATGGGTGGTGGGTGACTTACAGCATCAGTCTTATTCTGCCTCCACAAACGAGGAACATCACACACCTGCATAAACATCCCTTTCAGGTTGGCAATTACAACAGCTGCCAGGACTGACTGCCAAGAGAGACAGGGAAGGCTGTGTTATTCAGGGGAATAGCTTTCCATGTGATGATTTTTAAATCCCCTGTTATTTCTCTGGTAGCAGAGTGGTGACAGGAAATTATGCAATCAGTATATAGAGAAGCAGGGTTTTACCTTCTGCAAGGGTTCCAGAAGCTTCCCCAGGGCAACAATGGCGATCATCACAATCCCAGCAGAGATGATGCCAGCAATCTGAAAGACAGACACCTTGCATGAAGAGGGTTCATCCTCCTCCCTAGTGTCTTTCAGCTCACCACATGATCATGAAAGATCCTGCATACAGGCTTATTTGGTGCTTCTCTGATTCCTCTCCTCCCCCAGCTTCTGCTCAATATTGGGAGAAAAGAGCATCATTTGCTAAATCAATACAAAACTGAAAAAAAAGGAAAAACATATATATGTGTGGAAATATGTGTGTGTGTGTGTGTGTGTGTGTGTGTATGCTATTGCAGAGAAATTAAAGAAAATGTGGAAAGTGGGCCTGCTGAAGTAAAGCTACTTTAATGTGGATTTCATCGGATAGATTATAACTAGTTTTAGTGTCAATTCTGGAGGCCAACCTTCTAGTAGTTGCCAAGCCATGAAACATACCAACTCCCTCCCTAACAACAGAGATTATTATCATGTTCTTGGGAAATAAATCTCACAGCATGTATCTGATTGTTTTACACTGTTGAAGCAGTGACCACAATAGCCACTCTGATAACATGTTGTACTTGTAGCACACGGTTCCCATGAAAGTCTCAGAGAAAATAAGTTTATCCATTTAATTGCCAATTCATAGTGCCACACTGGCATGCTGAGAGGTGGGACCCTGTCTCCTGCTTCCTCTGATATTTGCATAGGTTCAGGCTCCAAATTTGCCCCAAAGCAGCTGCAGTGTGGAGCAATAGCAGGGGTAAAGAAGTCCAAAAATTTTACCTTCACTGGAAAATAAAAAAGAGCTCTCCTTAGGTCCGCAGATAGGACAGAGACTGAGGGGGCGGGGGACTATTCTCTGGTTTGATCAGATGATCAATGAATTCTCTCTTGAGACAGCTGGGGCAGGGCCAAGGTGGAGACTAGAAGCTCTGAAACAGAGGAGAAAAGAAGACAGGAAACCAGAAGCAAAGCTGTCAGAGAGGAATCAATAGGGAAGATGGTGTTGAGTACAAGCATTGCCTAGTACAAGAGATCTGAGTTAAAGGAGGAGGCAGTCACAGAAAATAGAAAAAGGAAATTAGCATACTCAATTAGAAAGTATTTGCTTCAACTGGCAAATGATATTCAGCTTATGTTCATTTATGTTCGGCTTATGGCTGGGTCAGTCTGGGCATACCTGTGATGTATGAAAATGCTCACTTTGTTTATCGAGTTCTCTACTCTATGCCTTTCCGGGCACCATGCCTCCAGGTTCCCAGCACCTTGGTGAGCTTTCCTCTTTCCTAACTAAGCAAAGAAGTTAGTACCTTTCCAATGACTCATGCACTATTCACTGAGCCATTTGCATCTCACTATAGATAAAGGCATCTGTGAAACGGTGAGAGAGATGGAGATTTGCAGTCAAGAACCATAGCCTGCTGCTCAACTCAGGACAAGAAAGCATCCTCTATTCACCAGTATATATAATAAGTCTCCAAATATGGGGGTCTAGGCTAGTTTTTGAACACCGTTAAGATCTGTGAGGGATCAATTACTTGTACTTATGGTATAAAGGCTGGCTTGTGGGAAACTCTGTAGATTTTATATCTATGAACAGATTCAATTACCAGGGAATTAATTATTCTGTTAAGTGAGAGAGTAATCAGAGCTACAGAGTAGTTTGTAATCAGAATTACTTTTTTATGAATCGATAGGAGTAAGATAGAGTGAGAGAAAGAACACATGGCCAATGTTCAGCTCTTCTACATTGTGGAGATGTGCTGAAAACACCACAAATAACTATGAAAGAGAACAACTGAGAAAACACTTTTCTTCTATTCATTCCTTCAGCTAATATATGCTAGGTGCTTCTTACATGCCAGGAAAAATACATGTATCACAGAAGCTAAGATGCCATTCCTACCTTGAGCCCAGCAATCAACACTTACTGGTATTTGCTTCACAAACACTTCTGAATCTAATCCTCTCACTGTTCCTATAGATGGATACAACTATTAGTCCATTTTATAGGTGCTGAAACTGAGGCTTCAACAGAAGAAAAAAAATATGAGAAGCCACACAAGAGAAGACCTGCCAGTTTATTTGGTCACAGTCCAGGCACATAGACGTTGAACCCCAGAACTTAGAATACATTTCAGTAATTAAATATCAAGCCATTTATACACTGTTTCCTTCTTCAGTGCTGAAATCCTGGCATCCATCATTCCTAAATATAATACATGCCAGTGTGTGGCAGAGGATATTAGCTTACCAGAATGCCATTATCCACCAAGCCCTTTGCCAAGAAGGTCACTTTACATGGGCATTCTTACTGGGGCAGCCAGCCCATGACTCATTTGAGCTTTTGCACTGTCTAGTGAGCAGCACATCTGCAACTCTCATAAAAAGTTTTTCTGTGTTTGGAGGAAACAGCAGGAGAATGGACACCAGCAGTTCAGGATTTGCCTGCACCCTCTTAGGACCACGTGCCCTGGAGAGCTTATCAATACTCTGTCTTCAATGCAAGCAGCAAGAACTTCTGCTGCTGACAGCTGCGGCATAAAATGGGCACAGCTTTGGAAATTAGCTTTGACCTCTTCCCCTCAACAACAGATCTCCGGCTGGTTATGCCTCCTGGTTTGGACTATATTATTTTACCTGCTCTCTCAGAGGTAGAAATGCTTGCAAAAACAATTTAAGAAAAATTCTGAGAATTAACAATAAATTTTTGTTTCAAAGGAGCCCAGACACTGGAAGAGGTCAATTCTTCCAACTCTGTAATTATCACAATCCTTTATAAATAGGAGAGGAACAACCTGTGTACCATGGGGACAATTAAAACTCTCTAGGCAAGCCACTGTTAGAGTCTTTTGTTTTCTCAGTTGTTCTCTTTCATAGTTATTTGTGTGTGTGTGTCTCTGCCTTAATAAAATGCTGTAAGAAGATGCTGTGTGTGTTTTACACTATTTAGTTTGGATCTGTTTTACTTTTAGAGTCTGAATGCACTTTTACTTTTAAATAATGCTTCTTCCTGTGTTGGGAGAATAAAACCCTTCAGGCATAAAAGAGGCACAATTCCTGAGTCTGTCCCTAGCCCAAGGTCACTGGTTTGGCATATCTGATTCTGTGCCTGGCTTTGAGAACCATTCCGGACCTTTCTGACTCACTGGGATTGAGGGGTTATCCAAAGATTAAGTGGGATGCTGGTTCTATGGTCATCTCATGAAGACAACTGACAGCACATTTAAAAAGGCAAGATTAAGTACACATTCAGAACTTCAAGAACAAAAATCATACTTGGGAATAAATGCCAAAATGTGACAATACAAGATATTTTTGGCTAGCAAACTCCTATTCTATGGGACCAAAGGCCTCTGGAGGAGGTTCCTGATCCTGGTAAAGGAAATGTGAAGAGAAGTTTTCACTTTCCTGAAAGCATAATAACACAAAGCCATGAAGTGCTTTTACTGGGCCTTCACTTTCCCCAGGTTAGAAATTACTAACAACCAGCATTCTTCATCCCCATCCTTGGCAGTAGCCAATGTCCCTAGAAAATCACTCCAAGTGCAGTGCTACATGAGCATTGACACAAAGGTTTATAAGAATTGCCATCTCAGGAAATCATAAATGTTGCTTTTCAAGAGGTTTTTGATGGGGGTGATTCAAACAGATGAACAGGCCCAAGTTGGATCCAATGAGGAAACACAAGTCCCTCTCTTCTCAAAGGTCAACTGTCGCAAGCCTTTCTGAGCTGCCATTTCTTGGCTTGTTCTATGTGATTAATGTTATCTGCTGTCATTCCATACCTGTGTCTTTCCCCCAGTGCTCTCTTGGACAGCTGTCCGGGACAAGGCAGTGGTGGCCACAAAACAAGAGAAGAATCCTGAGAAGATGTTGCTGATCCCAAAGGCAATGAATTCCTAAGGGAGAGAATGGATGACGTAATACTACAAATAGACTCTTTGCAAGACCCTCACCTCACGTTCAAAGGAAACTGCTAAATCAATCCTGCCTGGTGGTCCAATTTTATTTTTACATTTAAAGGTATATGAGGATCTTATAAAACATCTGGGGTTTGGACTCCATAGAATCTAAAAGAAACTTCACAGCTGTTGATTGTACTAAAGGTTGACAAGAAATAGTAACTTGTGATCCTTTGCTAAGATGCCTTTACACTGCCTGGTGAGCAGCACATCTGCAACTCTCATAAAAAGTTTTTCTGTGTTTGGATATTTGCTATAAAACATAATATAACTAGCAGAGCTATTATTCTGCTTGATTACTAGTCATTTAGCTGTAATTGCTATGCTGCTTTCAGAAACATCCAACCACAAAACCTGCAGTCACCTGACAATGTATCATATGCTTACAAAAATTGTCCTGTATTTATTAATTACACTGTGAACTACCACAACATAAAGTGGTCATAGCTATTAATTGTATTTTTACCTTGTTTTGTCATATTGTGCTGCCATTAAAAAAGAAATGACCAGAAAGAGTTCTCATTCTGATCTAACATGATAACTTTGAGGGTTCGTTGTGTCCTGATTGAATTAGCTCTTTTAAGATTAGGGTTATTTCAACCTATTTCTTAAAAAGCAAAGTGATTTGGGGGTGGGGTTGTGGCTCAGTGGTAGAGTGCTCACCTAGCATGCTTGAGGCACTGAGTTTGATCCTCAGAACCATATAAATATATTGTGTCCACTTAAAACTAAAAAATAATTTTTTTAAAAAAGCAAAGTGATTCAGCATGCATATTTCAAAATAATTTCTTATTAGGAAGCCTGAGAGAAAACCCAACTCATTAAGGACTTCTGGAAAAATCCAAGTCTTTCTTTAGCAGAGATCAAAGTTATTCCTGTTTATGTTTCTTTCTTATTTTCTGCTCTATAAAAGCAGCTCAGCAAAGGGCTCGCATACCTGGTTCCCATCGATGGTATAGTCGTGCTTGATGGCATAGACTTTTCCTACAGATACCGCAATAGCATAAGCCACCACAGCGATGGAAAATGATGCAGTCAGCATCTTGGAAAACAAGTTCACCGGGGGGAGTGCAGGAGGCAGAAACCTAGGAGTTTTTAAATGAAAAATGCAGTGAAGATTTGACAACAGCTCCTTTTTTCCCACCTCACCAAATGCTGCATCCACTCAGGCACATGAAAGAATGAAAGGTCATGATCCAAGAGAATGAAGAGCACATATAATGCATGAATGGCAGCATCCACATCCCCACTTTTAAATCAGAAGTCAGTGCTATCTCACTGGCCGCTTTCTTTGAAAGCCTCTCCTAAACCTCTGACATGAATAAATCTGCCTTGACTGATTGATTCTTCAAGGTCATACGGCTCCATCTGTGACACTTCACATGTTAGAATTTCTCCTTTCACAATTTAAGCTTAAAAGTCTTTGAACTTAAAAGATATTCTAACCACAATATGAGATTTACTCGTGTGAAGAGGTGTCATTTTGGTTAAAGAGACTAATGTATGATATTAAAAGAGTTCAGTGGAAAAACTGGGTGTGGTGGTGCATGTCTGGAATCCCAGTGATTCGAGCAGCTGAGGCAGGAGGATTGCAAGTTCAAGGCCAGTCTGGGCAATTTAGTGAGTAAAATATCCCAATGAGTGTGTGGTTAAATGACTACTGTTTGACAAAACTAGAAGTGATCTATTAAAACTACATAAATAAACCTATAATTTTATAATCAAGAGATTGTCCCCAAATGTGTAAGGGGGATGACCTTCAAGTACCCATAGCTTGATAACTATCCATATGGTGTAATTTCAGACCCCCAACCATAAAAATATCTCTCCACCTACCTCATTTACGCCTGAATAAAGATAAAGTGGAAAATTAGATTCTTAGAGAAAACCACAGATTTAGAGTTAACAAGCATCCTAGATATTGCTTAATCCACCTCTTTCATTTTGTTGATAAGGGAACTGAGACCCTGAAAGGTCTAGATATGAGAGTTAGATAGTGTGACTTTCTAGGTAACAAGATCTTTCTGGTTCTCTGCTCTTATTAGGCTTTCTCTTCCCAAGGGGAGAGGCTTAGTTTTTAGATGCCTTTTCTTCCCATATCCCATCCTACCTAGGTGTAGGCTCTAGCATGCACCCCATCTGTAGGCAGACAGACAGGACATTGGAAACCCTGAGTGACTCACCATTATATCATCAGCTAGTCTGGATATGACCTTGGACCTCACTTCTTAAAACCAGGCTTCATGGGGCTGGGATTGTAGTTCAGTGGTAGAGCACTTGCCTAGTATGTGTGAGGCCCTGGGTTTGATCCCCAACACCACATAAAATAAATACACAAAATAAAGCATTGTTTCTATCTACAACTAAAAAAATATTTTTTTTAAAAAAGGTTTCTTTTTTCTGAGACCCAGTCAACCCTACTTCAGGTAACTATGGCGCCTCAGGATAACTTTCCAGCCCTGCAAAGAATTTAGTTTTCATAGTCCCCTAATGTCCATTGCCTACCCACTGCTTCCTTCTCCAAATATTACCTGATCCTTGATTGTTCAGGGTCACAAAGGTAAGGGGAAAACTTGAAATCAAAGGACCTCAATCACTCTGTGAGTAACTTTATGACTTGGGCATGTTGTTTAAACCTGCCAAGTCTCAGTTTCTTTGGCCATCTAGTTAGGACTATGCGTTGTTCTCATAGAATTAATTGCAATATGACATAGTGAGGAATTAGTACCTACACACATATTAGGTGCAGTTTAAATGGGGAGAATCTAAATCTGTTATATTCCTGCCATCTTTCATACTGTCTTGTTGGACCTTAGTGTTATCAATTATTTGCCCCAAGTCAACTAAAGCCCTGGCTTCTGATGACCTCTGCGTAAGCCTTTCCTCTAGTACTTGTCCTCCTTCAGTGGATATAAGTCTTTACAAATTGTATGCTCACTCAGGGGGCTTGTTTGGCCCCAGCCAACCCTGTCTGACCTGATCATGAGATAACACTACCAAGAGCCTGAAGGGGAGACGGCATATGAAAACCCACTGATCTGAAGATGAGGATGGGAAGGCGTGAGCCCTGAGGTGCCACAGAACCCATGAAGAAAGTCAGGCATGTAAACATGGTGCTACTTCCAGTTGGACCTCAACATTTGACAAAAGTGCCAGTGCTCCAGCTAAAGGAGGAAAATGGCCCTCAGAAATCAGCCAGGAGACGAACTTCCAGAATTTTGTTGGCCACTCTCCCCACTCTATGTCCTTCCCTGAGCCACACTTCCAAGTACAACCACAAGCAGCATGATAGGGAGGAGCCCTGGTGAGGAGAGAACCAGTCACTGCTGAGAGATGAGGCAGGAATAAGTTTACATAGGGATTAAAATTTAGAGAATAGGAGCTGGAATTGTTGTTCAGTGGCAGAGCGCTTGCCTAACAAGTGGGAGGCACTGGGTTCGATCCTTAGCACCATATAAAAACAAATAAAATAAAGGTATCATGTCCATCTATAACTAAAAATATTTTTTAAAAATTAGAGGACAGAGCAGAAAATTGTGTTACAGCTTAAAATACAAGCAGTGACGTGTGCCTGTAAACCCAGTGACTCAGGAGGCAGGAGCGTTGCAAGTTCAAGGCCAGCCTGGGGAATTTACAGAAACCCTGTCTCAAAATAGAATAAAAAGGGATGGAGATGTAGCTCAGTGGTGGCACATTCCTGAATTCAGTCCCCAGTAACACAAAAACACAGCCCACCATACACAACCAGGATGACAGAGGGGTAAATGAAAAGCCCAGGTTGTGATAAGTAAGAGACTGGACACATTAAGAGCTATAGGATTGGGCTCAGTTGTATAAGGAGAAAGGCAGGCTGTGATTGCTCTCTTGGAACGGGAGCTCCCAGTTTGAGTGAATCCTCAAAGGCTGACTGGACATAGGCAGGTATCAGCACCTATCCTAGCTGGCAACCTAATTCTGGATTCACAAAATCTGACTATTCCAATAACTTAAGAAAATGGCAAAGAAAGCACACAAACACACAGAAGTACCTTTTCAAAATCCGGGGATAGTTCTGTGACCTTAGAGGTTTGTGGAAAGAGAGCCACTGGCATTCTTTATTCTTAAATAGGGGACACACAAGGGGAGGTTCCATGGAACATTCTATCCCAGAAAGAGCAAAAGGGTAGGATTACAAAGGAACGGGTGACTGTAACTCAACCCCACCTGGTGACGCCTACTCCTGGAGCCATGCCTCATTATCTGAGCGAAGGTAAAGCCCAAGTTATTGCAGGGCGCAATAATTGTTCAGTATCTCTTGCTCAGGACTTAAGGGCGTGTATTTCCGGACTGGCTCCCGACAGGCTTATTTATTTATTTTTTAGTTGTAGATAGATACAATACATATATTTTATTTATTTTTATGTGGTGCTGAGGATTGAACCCAGTACCTTACATGTGCTAGGCAAGTGCTCTACCACTGAGCCCCGGCTCCAGCCCAGACAAGCATATTTTTACCAGGAAGGGAGTGGAGAAAAGGACAAGGAGTCACAGCTTTTGTCAGTCTAGTGTGACATTTTTATTGGGAACCAAGCAATCCTAACATATGGCTCTGACCCTGAATAGGATGAAAGCAAGCTGCCAACAGCAGCCTGATTGGAGGCATGAGGCAGGGAGGAGATGAGAAGGTGGCACACCCCCCTTTCTCCCTCTCTGTTCTTTGGCCTTTCCCAGGACTCGCCTCAGCCATTAGAACATTCTCTTTCACTTGCTCTTTTCCAATGTCTCAGTGCTACCCTTTCTTTCTCAGGTTTATTAATATTAGAATTGTTTTTATGCTACCAGGTGACATCAGATAACAAAGGCCTTTCTTGTGGCTTGTGTATAATGACACGGGGCCTTGGTATTTTATCCCTTCAACAAATATTTTCTGAGAGTCTTCTGTGAGATAGGTACTGTGCTAGGGAGACAGAGCTGAGCAACACAAATGGGTTTATTGTCCTGTTGGAAGAGCTGATAGTCCTCACAGCCAGCAGGCTATTAGCTGACCAGGCTGACCAGGTGGTCTGTCAGAGGATTCAGCTTGATTAAACCCAAGGTAAGAGGCTCGGGATCCATTCTCAGGAGAAGCCAGTCAGGAAAGCTTAGTAGAAGGCCGGGAAGGACAACTAAGAGCAGCAATCAACTAATAGAATATGGATTTGGGGGGCAGGGCATATGCTGCCCCCCATATCCACCTATAGTTTGTTACATATTAGGGTGCCTGACAAAAGGGATCTATGAAATACAGTTTTGTATAATTTTTATAACTACCCCAAAATTGAATATTAGGGTAAAAACTCCATAACTCAAGTAGCCACATTGCAATTTTTTATCATTAAATTCCTCTCAGCTTTAGAATTCACTACTAAAATTCAGATCTTCTAATACAGAGTTTCCCACATTTACCTGATCAGAAGACTCATTTGAGACAGTTTTGAAAATAATAATTTTCAGGCCTCTATTCTGGGAAGCTTGATTCAATAGTTTTGGGGTGGGAGCCAGGAATCTTTGTAAAGAAGGTCTCACATGTTTCTTACATGTGTAAGTTTGAGAAATGCTATTATGGGTAATATGTAACTCAAGTCCCATGTAGCTAGTTGTTTGTTTTGCAGTAATGGGGATTGGACCCAGGAGCTCTCTACCAATGAGCTATACTCCAGGGATTAAACTCGGAGGCACTTGACCACTGAGCCACATCCCCAGCCCTATTTTGTATTTTATTTGGAGACAGGGTCTCACAGAGTTGCTTAGCACCTTGCCACCAAAGGGATCTATGAAATATAGTTTTGTATAATTTTTATAACTAAAAATTGGAAGTTGTAGATAGATACAATACATATATTTTATTTATTTTTATGTGGTGTGCCACTGCTGAGGCTGGCTTTAAACTCACGATCCTCCTGCTTCACACTCCCAAGCCACTGGGATTACAGGCGTGGGACACACGCCTAGCCAACTCTCCCTTATTTATTTATTTATTTTTATTTTGAAATGGGGTCTTGGCCAAATTGCCAAGGCTGACCTTGAACTTGGTGTCCTCCTGCCCCAGCCTACTGAGTCTCTGGGATTACAGCCCTGTGCCACCAGGCCCAGCCATTTTTCAAATATTTTTTGAGGTGGAAGAAACTTGGAAGAAATTGTGAGATTAATCAAATGGGAAGGTAGCAGTTTCCTGTGGAACAAGCAGTAGGAATTAGCTCACCTGAGTAGTTCCTATCAGGATCATGGAAAAACAAAGACCAGCACAAGGTGCCTCAGCTAAGATTAAGCGAAGGGAAACCAGTACTTACCAATCAGCAGCAAGTCTAGTCATAAATGCTATAAGTTAATGTTACATATGTGATAAATATCTGGGATTCTTTTTTAACATCATATAACAAATTTATAGTGTAAAACGCTTTTTCCACTCTGCATTTTATGAGAGCTTTCACTGGCATTTCACAAGCTTGAACTGAGGCTTCAGTTGTTGTAATTACCCTTCACATACAACTACACAGTGACAGAGATGGAAACTACCAAACTTATTTAAAACTCCCCTTAAAGGGCTGGGGATGTGGCTCAAGTGGTATCGCGCTCGCCTGGCATGCGTGCAGCCCGGGTTCTATCCTCAGCACCACATACAAACAAAGCTGTTGTGTCTGCCGAAAACTAAAAAATAAATATTAAAAGTTCTCTCTCTCTCTCAAAAAATATTCTTTTAAAACTCCCCTTAAGATAATGCAACTTATGTATAGATACAAGAGATATAATTATTATCTAAGATAGATTAAATGGTAGAGAATTTATGCCAGTTGACCCTGACTTCTCAAGCAGATTGTTCACAGTGCAATAAATGCTACTGATCATAACTGTGTAATTCTATTGTGTTGTAATTATATATATGAGTTTAAACCAGGATTCTGGTGTTAAATGTACACATCCTGCCACATTTTAAGAAAATGAAGGGAAAAGAACATATATAGGGACTACTTTTAAACAAATGGCTTGAACTTTATCCATGCATGTGCTGTTTGTCTGATGCTTTGCACAAATAGGTGTTTCTTTAAGATCATACACAAATAGGACTACTGAAAAATCATCAGTAAAGTGAGGCTTGTAATAAAAGGTTTCATTTAAATAGAAAGTACTGGCTTTATATGTTAGCATTATCTAAGAGGAACGTCATACTCACCCCCTTGGGATGGATTTAACAATACCAGCATTGTAATTTTTTTCTAAGTTGGCTCCATATGAAATGGCAGTGGCAATTATGGTCTGAAATAAAATAAAAGAACTTATGAAACAAAAAAATCCACAATCCCTCACTTGTCAACATAATTAATGCTGAATTCTCTAACTATATGTTCTACTTACCACAATTACCTCTATAGGAATAGGAACTGGGATTTTGTGTTTAAATCGATCATTTAATTCCTTAACTGCCATACAGATGACAATGGTGAGTAATCCAGCAATGAAATCAGCAAGATTTGTATCACCAATATTTTGAAAAATCTCTACCAGAGTCTGTAAAGAGAAAATTATTTTATATACTTCCTGTTGCAGAGACATACACATACATAAAATCAATTCTCCCCTGGATTTTCCCACATGAAAAATCAGATCATCAAACAATATGTGAACATTTTATGTTAAATCATAATAATGTGTTGGTTAATACAGGGACCATTAAGTACATGCTGTCTCTGCTAAGTATAGATACATACATGTGTATATGTAAATATACCCAAATGTATATATATGTACATGTATGAGTATACATTAATGACAGTCTACTTGAAGAAGTAAAACTATGGGTGGTTTCTACATTCTTATTTTTCATAATAAAAAGTGAAGAGCTTTTGGGGGGCTGGGATTGTGTAAGAGTGCTTGCCTCGCATACATGAGGCACTGGGTTTGATCCTCAGCCCCACTTAAAAATAAAATAAAGATATTATGTCCACCTATAACTAAAAAATAAATAATTTTTTTTTTAAAAAGTGAAGAGCTTTTTAAAAATGTCATTATATTCTTGTCCTTGCTGACAAGCTTCAAAAGTTTATATCTTAAACTGTTTTTTTCAGGTGTTATTAAGTGGCCTAATTTTCTTTTTTTTTCTTTTAAATATATTTATTTTATTTTTTTATACTTTTTTATTTTATTTATTTATTTTAATATTTTTTTTTTTAGTTTTCAGCGGACACAACATCTTTGTTTGTATGTGGTGCTGAGGATCAAACCCGGGCCGCACGCATGTTAGGCGAGCACGCTACCGCTTGAGCCACATCCCCAGCCCAAGTGGCCTAATTTTCACTAGGTGGATAAGGAATTATTGAGACTAAAAGCTAACAAACAAAAAAGTCCCATTTGTTTTCTTTTGGGGTGGAGGGTGGGGGTCTCAATTAGCCAACAGCTTAAATAATGCTTTTCCCTAAACCCAAATAATACAGGTAATAAAAATAAATAAATAATCCTAAAATACATCCATATGTAGATACAAGTGCACTGATTCATTCTTTCCATCTCTTCTTTTTTTCTAACTGGATATCAGACCCCCAGGGGTGCTGTACCAGTGAGCTACATCCTCAGCCCTTTTTATTTTTTATTTTAAGACAGGCTCTCACTAAATTGCCAAGTCTGGCATTGAACTTTCTTTCTTTTTTCTTTTTTTTTTTTTTGCAAGACAGAGAGAGAGAATTTTAGTATTTATTATTATTATTTTTTTTAGTTTTTTCGGCGGATACAACATCTTTGTTTGAATGTGGTGCTGAGGATCGAACCCGGGCCGCATGCATGCCAGGCGAGCATGCTACTGCTTGAGCCACATCCCCAGCCCTGGCATTGAACTTTCAATCCTCCTGCCTCAGCCTCCCAAGTCACTGGGATTACAGGTGTACATCACCGCATCTGACTGATTCATTCTTCATGGCAAAGGCTATTAAATTGATCTGTAGGCCAAGTATACATATTTTGAAATTAATTTGGTACATAGTTTAAAGTTGAACTAAGATAACCACTAAAGATAATTCTTTTCCAAGTGAGCAGAGAAGCCAGGTCAAGAAATGTAAGTTTTGTTTTGTAAATAAGAAGTTTTTGGAATTGAGGGTATTCTTAAAGGAAATTAGCAAAGGAGTCTGCAGGAAAGAACACTAATATCTTTGTTATATTTGCCTTGTGTAAGTCACAACTTAAGAAGACATCCCTTAAATCTTTGAGATTTGTGATCTCTCAGTGAAGCTTGCTTTTCTTTGAATGAATCTTTATATAAAGATAAAGGAATGAAACATCTTACAGTTCACAACAGATACCTTGTTGATTTTTGCAGGTAAGTAAAATTCTTAAAATAATTATAATGATAATCTGGTAAACATTATATAAAGAACACAAAGTCATCTAAGAATCATTTTTCGAGCAACCTCACTCTGGAACACATTCAAGAGTGAGGGAATGAGGGAGTATTTTGCAAACAAAATACATTCCACCAAGAGCTTGGATGGGAGCTCAAACATTGAGCTTGTAGGAAGCCTTTTGGACTTTCACTCAAAGAGGATTTTTGTTCTTATTTTAAACCCTGTACTCCTAACAGGAACTGGGCTGTCTGCTTTCCAGAATCACTGAGAATTGCTGGAGGCAGATAGGCTGACAGAACAAGATTTAGCCAGCAGCCCCAGGATGGAAGAGAAAGGGAACTTTCAGGAGCAGACGCAACAAGAGTTTTGTCCATCACACACAGGAGCCAACCGTCCTACTCCTTACACAGAGGCTTGAAGGCTGTCATTGCTGTTTGACCTTAGGAAATCAATTTTCTAATGAGGACCTTCATTAATTCATGAGCTAGGTATAATATTTTGATTAACTGTCTATATAATAAAGGTTGACTTTCCAACTCAGCATGGGAAAATTCCAACTTAAAAAACAAAACATTTTGACTAATTATCCTAACCACAGAAATATTTTCACATTATAAAAATCAGTACAGAAGAGCTGGGAATGTAGCTCAGGGGTAGACCCCTTGCGTAGTATGTGCAAAGTATTGTGTTCAATCCCCTACACCACCAAAAAAAAAAAAATCACTACAGGATAGTTCCATTTAATCTAAGAGTCACTTAGACCTTTGAATAAAAAGCACTTTTTGCAGGGTGCAGTGATACATGCCAGTAATCCCAGCTATTCGGGAGGCAGAGGCAGAAAGATCACAAATTCCAGGCCAACCCAGGCAACTTAGCAAGACCTTGTCTCAAAAAAGAAAAAAAAGGGGGGGTGGGCTGGGGATGTAGCTCAGTGCTAGAGTGCCCCTGAGTTCAAGTCCTAGAACCACCACCAAAAACAAAAGAAAACAAAACAACTCTGTTGTGTCACAAATAATAAGAGCTACAAAAATCAAAATCAGTTCATATTATACAATTGTTTCAGCAAAGCATATATATATATTAGGTTTCCTACACACTGAGTAATCATTCAGGATTTCTTATGAAAAGTTCTACAGTAGAAACTTTAGTCTATATAGAAATAAAACTCAGGGCTGGGGTTGTGGCTCAGCAGTAGAGCTCTCGCCTCGCACATGAGAGACCCTGGGTTTGATCCTCAGCACCACAAAAAAAATAAATAAGTGAAATAAAAGTATTGTGTCCAAGTACAACTAAAATAAATAAATAAATATTTAAACAAACAAAAAAGAAATATAAACTGAAATAGTCATAGGAAAAACAGTGGAATGAATCTGACATAACTTCCTATGTACATATATGAATATACCACAACGAATCTCAACATTATGCACATTCACAAGACTGGGATCCTAAATAGAATATGATAAATTCCATGCTTGTATAAATATATCAAAATAGATCCGACTGCCATGTATAACTAAAAAGAATAAAATTTAAAAATAAACAGAAATAGAATGTACTCAAAGAGAGAAGAGACACTCCAAGGATGTTCTGAACAATAATGCTAATTGAGTTTTCTGTAAAATACTAAAATGTGGATAAATATATGATCCTGTATTTTAGTCTAGAATTCTAACATAGTTCCAATCATGTTATTGACTTTTCAGTAATGTATAATATTTCACTATATTTCTTATAACATTTGGGGAATTTTAGGACCATTTCATTTAGATAACTATTCTTGCCCATATTACCTAGGTGTAAAAAGCCATAGGGAAAAAATTACACCTGATCTTGTATATAATGAAATTTACCGGTTAACTTTGAAACTGTATTTATTTTAGTTTATCTTATCTCCATGAATATAACAAACCTTCATAATCACCTCTTGCCTTCAGGAACTTTCTGCTATCAGATATTTTGTGTATATGTATATTACCCCTTAGTGTGACTTTATGCTTTATTAAGGGTGTAAATTTAACATACTGAAGTAAGTGACAAGTTTGATCAAGCTAAGCTGTGGCTTTCAAAACTCTCAGCTTTGGACAGAACTTCAGTGCATTCTTCTTCCTCACCTTGAAGCAAGTAGCATGAATTTAGTAAGCAAACAAAGAGACAAACCATTCAAAGTGAATGGAGGAAAACAACCACTTTACTTTAGCTACATGGTAGCATTAGTATTATTAATTAATTAGTATTATTAACTCTGAATTGCTGCCAACACCCTGTCATGCTCACTTCTGCATTCTATACCCAAGCATCTCTGGCATTTGTGAACTAACAGTTTTTCTTTCATTCCTAATAGTTCCTCCTTCAAATTTTTGTATTCATTACTTCTAGTTATCAGTACGTCTTTGAAGGACAGGCTGGGACAAACCAAAATACATTCTTACAAGAAAAATATTTTAATTTGTACATGATGTTGTAATAAGTTAATCACATTCCAGGCAAAGTGTTTTATAATAATCTTTCCTAGAAGAATCCACTATTGCTGAATTTATTGAAGGAGTCTCTTATAAATGCTTACAATAGTAATGTCATAAGTATGGGTCCATTCAGGGACCAAGTTGCTCTTTGAACTTCATGCAATAATTTCTAGACCTGTTCATTCTTTTTTTTTTTTTTTTCCCAGAATAGAATGCTTGCCGGGCATAGTGACACATGCCTGTAATCTCAGCTACTTGGAAAGCTGAGGCAGGAATATCTCAAGTTCAAACCAGCCTGGGCAATTTAGGAGGATCTTGTCTCATAAATACAATTTTTAAAAAGAGATTGGGTTGTAGCTCAGTTATACAGCACTTCCATAGCATGCATGAGGTCCTAGTTCAATTCCTAATACCACAGACTTTTCAGAATAGAAAGATTATATTTACTATCAAATAGGGGTAATTGAAATCTTTCATCACACTTGACTGGCCTATAAGGAATTTCCTGCAAAATTCTACAACAGTAGGCTCATCAATTATAAGAAATGTACCACTCCAATGCAATATACGATGTTAATAGTGGGAAGGTTGGGGGTGAACAGTGGGTATATGGGAACTCTATACTTTCTGCTCAATCTTTCTGTGAGCCTAAAGCTTCTCTGAAAAGTAAAGTCCATTAGAAAAAACCCTATGGCACATGCTAAACTGAAACTTCAGGAATAATATTCAATTGGAAATAAGTGACACAATGATCATGTTTGGTTTTAAAATTATGTTTGACCTTGGTCTTACATGTCCATGTTGCTTTAGTCCTTGTGAAACTGGGGCCATTAGCAGCAAGTTTCTTCTTAAAATAGTCCTAAAAGATTATATGAATCATTTCTCCTGTTCTCCAGATGTCCAGCAATGGCCAGGATCCCTGGTCAAGGGCTGGCTTATGCCTCCTGTGATCTGAGTGGATGTAGGCCTAGCACTGTTCTCGGAAGGAGGTGAGCATAGTTAGTAAGAGATGTCTTGGTGGGTTTGTACTGGGAGTGAACAGTAACTGGCACATTTGATAGCTATTCAATAAATCTTATTGCATAGGTCAATTGAATGGATGAAAATGAAGGAATAGATGAAGTATTGATGGAGAAAGTGTGAAAGCAGCCAAAGATATGTGACGGGCTGCAAAAGTGACAGAGCCTGTCTGAATAAGAAGTCTGAAGTTCTCAAAAAGAACTGAGGACTTGGAAAGAGGAAAAAAAATAATGCTGAATCAGAAAGGAGGCTATACTAATAACGTTTTCTCATAGGCTGGTTCTCTGGGAGGTAAATAGTAACCTCCATGAGGTCTATTCTTCCATGATAATGAAAATAATAAAAACAATAAACTGAGTTCTTAGTACATGCTAGATATTATTTTTAATGCCTCACCCAAATTTTCTTTTAAAATCCTCTGAGAGATAGATATTACTATACTCTGAGAGATAGATATTACTATCACTCATTTTATAATTAAGGACATGAAAGTTTAGGGAAGTTAATTTTTTGTTGTTCTTTTTTTTTATTGATGGTATTTTTAATTGTTTGCTTATTTTGCAATACTAGTGATTGGACCCAGGGTAACCTAGCAATGAGATACACCACTGTTCTTGTAAAATTTTTTATTTTGAGACAAAGCCTCATTAAATTGATAGGATTAGCCTTGAACTTGGGGTCCTCCTGCCTCAGCCTCCCGAGTAGCTGGTATTACAGGCGTGATCCACTTACACCCAGCTAGGGAAATTCGTAGTAACATAACCAGTCACATAGGTAGGTGGTAGAAACAAGACTCCAACTCAGGTTTGTTGAAGTTTAAAGTCCATGATCTTAATCACTATGTTGTTCTCCATGATCTCAATCACTATGTTGTGGGTAATGAAAGGATTCAAACCCCACTGGTACCTTATTTTTGCATGGTATAATTCCCCTCAAGCTAGAGTGACATCATGTTACTATTATCACCCATTTTTTTCAAGCATTAGTAACAGGCTTTATATAGAATATATATTTAGATCCAAGAACTTCTTCAAATCTAATTAGTGTGATCTATATCCTTCTTTTGCATCTCTTTTGCATGTTGAGTCATCTTGAATTTAATGTTCCTTTTCATTTATAATTGCTGAGACATTTGCATTATGCATTTTATGGACTCTCATAATTAGAAAGGGCTAGAGAAATACATCACCAATCATTTCATTTTTAAAATAAGACAGAAAAGAAGCCTTGAAATAATAATTTCAAAATAACAACTTTTTAGTATTTGCTATGTGTTAGCCCCTGAACCAAGTGCTCCTCATCTATTCTTTTGTGTGTGAGCCTGTGTGGTACTGGGTTTAACCCAGGGCCTCTGACATGATAGGCAAGCACTCCACCACTGAGCTATGTCCCCACCCTTCTCTTTTATTCCTATTTAACAATCCAATCAGGTTGATACCATTAACAACCCTATTTTACAGAAAAGGAAACTGAGGCATGGTGAGTTGCTCATGGTAAGTAGCAGAGTCAGAATTTGAATCCAAGTCCATCCAATTTTAAACCTGAACTTTCAGCCATTACCTTCCTTGATGTATTCAAGGTCATTTATCTTGTCTTAGCAAAGCGGAGACTAGAGTTCCAGTCTATTGCACTCCAGAACTGTCTTTATTTCAGCATATTGCTTTCTTCACGAATGTTTTTAGGTACAGTAACATTTCAGAAACCATTCTGACCAGTTGAGAACAAGGATTTGCAAAATCTGCCTTCTTCAATGTTATTTATGATTCTATTTCTTCTTTCAGAGAAAAATGTTTTCAGTGGTTACAAAAGTATATATGAGGACTAGGATTGTGGCTCAGTGGTAGAGTGCTTGCCTCATATGTATGAGGCACTGGGATTGATCCTCAGCACCACATACAAATAAATAAATATGTATGGAAAACAGGTTATCCAGGCTCAAGTTAAATGGAGAAAGAACAGTGACCCATCCCCAAAATAAAAAGCAGCACTTACATAGATAATGGAGAGAACTCCGTTATAGTTTTGGGTTGAAACGTTGAGGACAATCTTTAGCTGCGAGACCAGTACCTGGAAGGCAGCAGCTGTTGTAAATCCTCCAACCAATGGATCTGCCAAGTACCTCACTATGAATCCAATCTGCAAACCTCCAAATACCAGCTAGGATGAGAAGAGAGTAAAAAGTTAAAATGTTTTCCTGAGAAGCGAGGTTTGTGGCACACACCTATAATCTCAGCAACTCAGGAGGCTGAGGCAGGAGGAGAATCATTAAGTTCAGGGCCAACCTCAGCAACTTAACAAGACCCTATAAAACTTAGCTAGACACTGTCTCAAAAATTTTTTTAAAACAAAAGTGTTGGGGATATGGCTCAGTGGTTAAGCACCCCTGAGTTAATTCCCCAGTATATATATATATATAAAAAAGTCTGAGAAAAGAACCAGTTTTCTGGAAATATTGATAAATTAAGTTTAATATCAATCAAAACACCTTGAAATATAAACCTCAAAGTATTTCTGTGTATGTACTAAGAAAAGCAAACATCATGTAGATTTTTTCTGTGACTTCCAGGTCCCATGGCTCCGCTCACCAGTATATATACTTTCTTTCTCTCATCCTCAACTGAATCAGGCATTTTCATCTGCTTTTTTTCCCCCCTTCTATCTCTACTTTTGATAGTAAGTAAATCTTAATAACTGAGGTCTTGCAAACTATTTCAACATCTGGCTAAGACAATGTATTTGGAAAATAACTTTTGGGTCCCGGAAATTACTTTGTTTTCCTTTTAGATGAATCTTTATGTTCACATGTTTTGAAGTTACTTATTGCAAATAAGAATCACATAATGGAGTTGGGGCTGGGGCTTAGTGGCAGAGTGCTTGACTAGCATGTGTGAGGCACTGGGCTGGATCCTTAACACTTCATAAAAATAAATAAATGAAACAATTATTTTAAAAAAAAAGAGAGAGAGAGAGGGGGCGGCTGGGGTTGTGGCTCAGCAGTAGAGTGCTTTTCTAACATGTGCGAGGCCTTGGGTTTGATCCTCAGCATCACAAATAATTAAATAAATGAAATAAAGGTATTGTGTCAACTACAACTAAAAAAGATTATAAAAAAAGAGAGAGAGAATCACACCAATCTATATTTTACTTGTATGACCATTACCTGTATGATTCCAACCAAAAGGGTAAGGGTGCTTGCAATCATTACTCTTGCAGTATCTCTGGCTGTTGTATCTAGCATGGTAGTATTCAAGGTACTTCCATTATTGCTGGACATGAGAAATTGTTCATCGGGGGCCATACTTAGAACAACAGATCCCACCATTAAACTGACCACAGGGAAAGGTCCTGGGGAAAAAGTCTCTTATCATTAATCAGTTATTAATCACAAATATTTAGACTCAACACGTCTATGTAGGATTATAAAAATGTATGAAATAATTAGCTGTGGCTAGGAAAATATTGCTTATTCACAAAAGAAGTTGAGAAGTAGATATCTCAAGTCATTCATGATCCAGAAATGGCCACCACACATGTCAGTAAGTGATCATGATACCCATTCAGGATGCTTTGTGAATACATAGGAAAGGTGTTTAGCTAATTCTGTGTGTGATCCTCTTGTACATGGGGGATGAAAGTTGGGGTGGGAGTTGTCAATTAAAGCTTTCCAGACAAAGGCATCATATAAATTGAATTCTTACTTGTTCTACCTAATTGTTAATCCATAAAATAATATTAACTTCCTCATGTGTCCAGTATCCTGATCTCTGAATCCAAGTGCCTTGATCAATATCACAGGGTCCAAATTTGCAAAGGAAGTATGTAGTTTCTCTTTCTGTCTTTGCAAGATAAATTATTTTTTCATGTCAAATGCCAGTCTGTTAAATTGTAAGTTTAAAAAAGCTCTGATTTCTCAAGGGTTGTGTTTTCTCTTATATGTGGAAGCTAGAGAAGAAAAAGGAGAAGAAAGTTGGAGTGGGGATCTAATTAAAATCAAAGGGAGATCAGTAGACTAGAGAAAGGAACTAGTGGGAGGAAGAAGGGGAGGAACATGGGAAGTACTGGAAAATGATATTGGCCAAATTATATTATTACATTGTGTGCATGTACCAATATGTAACAACAAATCCCTCCATTGTGTGCAACTACAATACACCCATTAAAAATGTGGGAGAAAAAAACTGATTTCTTCCAGGAAGTGTTCCATTCACTACTGATATTTATACCCAAGATGATCCTATTATTTGACCAACAAAGGGATTTGTTGTTGGGAGAACTCAGTACCCAAACCCAGTAAACTGGAATGTCTAAATGTAGAGAACACTGAGGAAAAAATAAACTCTTTTTTTTTTAAAATGTTCCTTGCATTTGACACTGATGGATCTCCAAGATGAGAAAGTTCTTTCATTTAATAACCTCTTTCTGGAATCCTCCAGACAAGGTAATGAACTAGATAATGGGAGAGATACAACTAAGCACAGGGACATGGGTGGTGGGTAGAGTAGATGGTTATATTTGTTTCAAGAGGATCATCCAGGTAGACATGTCTAGCCAACAGATGGATACAGGAACAAAACTATCTTTAGTGTAAATGTCAAATTTGCAGGAAATAGCATTAAAACATTCATTTACTAGAACATTCTAACAAAAGAGAACTTAAATTTTAGAAATGGCAGGAAAACCTTTTATGAGCCTTGCCAAGAAGAAAAATCAAGCTTGGTTTCTACATTTTTTGGCAAGATTTTGCTAGTCTTCCAATTTTAGTAACTTAAAAATCAGTATGCTCTTTAATTTAATGAATATGTATTTGATGAGTATAATTTAATAAATGCTAAGTTAATCTAGTAAAATACTGATTCAAAGACCTTGCAAAGATTTGTTACCCTGTCATTTTATATTTGGGAGAACAATATCTAAATATAGAGTCAAATTTATTACATTTTTAAAATCAAAACATACTAAGGTCTAAAGGCAGGATTTTTCAGTCTTTCAAATTTATCCTCTTAATTTTAAAAAGGTATGTATACAATTAACTAATATCATTGACTAGGAAGAGTAGACAAAGCATCAAAGCCTGATTTCCTTGGAAAGTATTAACAAAGATAAAGAAGACTGATGCATATAATATAGCTAAACACTTTGAACATGAATGAAGACAATTATAAAATATGCTTATATTTACCAACTGAGGGGCTGTGGTTGTAACTCAGTGGTAGAGTTCTTGCTTAGCAAGTATGAGGAGGCACTGGGTTTGATCCTCAGCACCATATAAAGATAAATAAATAAAATAAAGGTATTGTGTCCATTATTAAAAAAAAAAATTTACCAACTGAAATGTGTCTTGATGTTCCAAAGATGAAGTATGTCAGGATAGGAAAAAAAGCAGAGTAGAGGCCATATCCAATGGGAACTGCAGCCAGCAGAGCATATGCCATTCCTGAAATTACATTCAAAGTGATAAATTCACAAACAAAAGATACAGTATATTTAGATGTGTAAGACTTTTCATTGATACTCTCAATTTATGGGTTCAAAACATCAGCCTGTCCTGAGTGGTTTCTTTATCTTGCATATAGACTGTGCCTAGGCTACCATGCAGCATACGATTTAAATCAGAATAATGATTTCATCTATGTGCCTTATCTGCTCAAATGAACAGACTTGATCAGTATTTCCATCATTGACTGATCATATCAAGTCAGATATTGACTAAGAACTTAGTAAATTCAGGGCTGGGGTTGTAGCTCAGTGGAAGAACACTTGCCTAGCACATGTGAGGCACTGGGTTCAGTCCTCAGCACCACATGAAAATAAATAAATCAAATAAAGGCATCTACAACTAAAAAAAAAATTAAGAAAAAAAATCTTAGTATATTTAGTGAAGGATCAGACCAGTTTTTGCATGTGGACAATTTTGTCTGAGTTCATTCACTGTCCCTCCATGTTCAGTCACTGTTGCATTTACCCTTCTCTTTTCATTTTGGGGAGCAGATGTTAGATACAAAGCAAGACCAAAAAAAAAAAAAAAAAGACAATTGTACTTAGCAGCAGGCAAGATAACTGTATCCTGGTAAGGGAAAACAACTCCACCAGTAGGCTATGCCAGCAGCCTGTGGGCCCACAAATGTTAAGCTATAGAGAAATCAACATTTCAGTGTATAAGAGGGTTGGAAGAGGATCATGACACATTCTTTTTCTTGGTTAAATACTTAGGCAGTCAGTATAGCTTAATCCATAGTACCTCCCCACCCTTCAGTCTCAACAAGAGAAAGTCAAGTCTTTTGACCCTGAGTTGTTAGTAAAGGACTATACAATTTTTTTTTAACAGTAATAGCAACCCAATCCAAATGATCTGGCCAACAGGCACTCAAACTATTTTCTGAATGAATATCTTCAAATAGGAAATGGCTAGTTAAATTATACTTCATCCATGGTATTTCTAAGTTGTTGATTTGGGGGGTGGGGTGGGCAGGGGGGAATGCATGTAATTCCATGAGATGTAATTGATGTGATGTATAGCAGGACATGGAAAACTGTGAAGTAAATTTTTTTATAAAGTGAGAAAAATAAAGATTAAAAACTGATAGTGAAGGCATGTTCCCACTCTTATTAAATTATTTGTTTAAAATATATATTTTAATATAAATTCAGATATGCAAAAAGATAATGAATATTAAAACACTCATATATCTATAATCTAGCTTAAGAAATGTTATTGACAGTACCACTGAACCTCTCTGTATCCTCTTCCTCAATCACATTCCCTTTTCTCCCTCCATCCTCAAAAGGTAAACATTATCCTGAATCTGGTGCTTATTAGTCCCGGGCATTTTGTATACTCTTATATAGATATGCATTTTTGTGTTTAGTACAATAGTTACTAACATATGAATATCATAACATATGAATGGGTTATATGGTAGGATCAGAAAAGACTTCCAGTTTATAGAAGTGATTTTTTTCATGTTCCTTATATATATTTTCTAGTTTTCTACATAAGTATTCATTCATTCAACAACCATTGATTATACACATATCAGGTATGGTACTACTGAGGTCTCTGCCTTGTGGAATTTGCATTCTAGAAAAATATGTATAATTGGTGTAATCGTTTTAATAGAAAAATTACAATAAGGAGTTACAACAACCAATAGTTCCAGGAACATGGATTTAGAATAAAAAAATGACTCCTCAAAAGGAAGACAATAAAGGAAAGAGGAGGGAATTACAGCACAACCTGTTTCTAATGGACATTCTTCAAGTTCTTCTCAAAGCGTTCCATTTCCCTAAACTGGGCTCTGTAGTTTAAATATACATATATATATATATTTGTAGTTGGACACAATAACTTTTATTTAATTTATTTATTTATTATGTGGTGCTGAGAATTGAACCCAGTGCCTTGCACATGCTAGGTGAGTGCTCTACCACTGAGCCACAACCCCAGCCCTCTGTAGTTTTTAGTATGCCTGGAAAAAATGAGGACTTTTTCAATATCTGTTTAGAAACACCTGCTACTCAAGTATATTGCAATCATCTTTATTACAAAGGAACTTGGTACTACTTTTTAAAGTATTCAGTTTGTAAAGAAACCTAAGCCATTAATTTAAATTATGAAATCTCTTTGTTGGTCCTATGATGTGTAGGATGGTGGCATCAACTGCTAAAGCAGGTGCTACTAAACATTTGGAAATACCCAAAAGGCAAGTCCTCCCACTATGTGAGGACACAGTGGTCCCTCACCAGAAACTACAGGGGCCCTCATGTTAGACTTCTTACCCTCAAGAACTACAAGAAACAAATTTCTACGTTTATTAAATAAGTAAATGTCAAAGATAGAAAGTAGATAGCAAAGGTGGGTCCAAAATTGCATATTAGAAGCACATAGCACAGCTGGACCTGATGGTGCATGCCTATAATCCCAGAGCTCAGGAGGTTGGGACAGGAGGATCACAAGTTCAAAGCCATCCTCAGCAAAAGCAAGGTGCTAAGCAACTCAGTGAGACCCTGTCTCCAAATAAAATGCAAAATAGGGCTGGGGATGTGGCTCAGTGGTCAAGTACCTCCGAGTTCAATCCTCAGTACCCATGCCCCAAAAGAAGCATCTAGCACTTGCCCATTTCACCTGGGTTAAATCTCTAGGAGTGTGTGCATGCACACAAAAGTTTCCCCTTCAAAACTGGTTTGGAGAGCCAGCTATAAGAGTCCAGGGGAATAAGCAGCTATGTGTGATTTCACTTGGGAGCTAAGTCACACTAAGTAGAATCACGAGCAGTACATTGTGAGGGGACTGCCCACCGCTTTCCCCACAATAGATATTTGTGATTATATAGCTTCTTCCTGCACCAGTATACACTACTTATTTCTTGGCTCACCTCCCATGGTCCAGAAGAGGCAGCAGAGGCCATTCACTCTGCCACCTTTGTTTATTCCTAAGCTTTTTGAATCCTGGATATTAATCCTCTGTCAGAAGAACCCCAGATAGATATAACCAGAAAAGAATGTCTCCATAAGATGTAGTTAAACAAAGTACAAAACAAATAAATAATATTAAAAGCTGCAAAAGAGAAGCATAAAGTCACATTTAAAGACAGACCCATCAGAATTAATTTCTCTGTAGAAACTCAAAAGTCCAGGAGATCATGGAATGATGTATCAAGAAGATAAAATGATTATAAATATATAGCGATATATGCTGAATCAGAGAATCCAATGTTATAAAACAAAAACTACTAGACATAAAGGGAGAGATAGGCCACAATGAAATAATAGTTGGTGACTTCAAAACTTCACATCATCAACAGAACATCCAGATTAATAAAAGAAAAAGAAAAAAATCAACAAAGAAACATTGAGTTACGGATCAAATGGAATTAAGAGATATCTATAGAATATCCCATCCAATAGCTGTGGGATACACATTCTTTTCATAAGCACATGGAACTTTTCCTAGAATAGATTAGATATTAGAACATAAAATAAGTCATAATATTTTTTTAAAAATTGGAATAACTTCTTGCATATTATCAGATGATAATAGAATGCAACTATAAATCAACAGCAAGACAAACTTCAGAAATTATACAAACACACGAATAATACACTTTGAATGAACAGTAGGTTATTGAAGAACTTGGGGAGGGGTAGAATTAAAAATTCCTAGAATAAAATGAAAATGGAAACTCAATCTACCAGAAACTATGGTACAGTGAAAGCAGTACTAGTAATGAAGTTTATATCAATGATTGCCTACATTAAAGAGAGAGAGAGAGAGAGAGAGAAAGAGAGAGAGAGAAATCTCAAATAATAACCTAATGATATATCTCAAAGTCTTAGAAAAACAAGGGAAAACTAAACCCAAAACTAGAAGGGAAAAATAGTATAGATCAGGCAGAAATAAATGAAAAGAGACTAAAAGAACAATACAAAGAATCAATGAAACAAAGGTGGGTTTTTAAAATTTGTTTTTTGTGGTATTGGGGATTGAACTAATTGAACTCAGTGTTAGGCAAGTTCTCTTCCAATGAAGAACACCCCCAGAAGAACTAATGAACAAATTCAGCAAAGAAGCAGAATGCAAAATCAACATTAAAAAATCAGTATCTTTTCTATATTCCAATAATGAACTCACTGAGAAACAGGAAAGCAGTCTGATTTACAATAGCCTCAAAAGAAAAACAAAAACCCAAAGAGTAGTAAACTTAACCAAAGAGGCAAAAGATCTCTACAAGGAAATGGTACTGGGGAAAGTGGATATCCACATGTAGAAGATTGAAACTTGACCTTTATCTATCAACTTGTACAAAAATCAAATCATAATGGACCAAAGAGACCTCAATGTAAGACCTGAAACTTTGAAACTGCTAGAAGAAAACTTACAGGAAACATTTAAAGATATTGGCACAGGAATGATTTCCTGAATAGAACTCCAATAGCTCAGGTAACAAAAGCAAGAACTGACAAATGGAGATTACATCAAATTAAAAACTTCTTCATTGCAAAGGAAACAATCTACAGAGTAAAAGAGAACCTACGAATGGGCAAACAACTTTGCCAACTATTCTTCTGACAGAGGATTACTATCCAGAACTCAAAATCGTAACAACCTAAAAACAAATAATCCAATAGTAGAAGCGAAGGTGGGAGTGAGGTGCGCCTCTGTAGTCAGGCTGAATGGCCTCTGCTACCTCTGCCAAACCATGGGAGGTGAGCCAAGAAGTCAGACCACTCAGGACACAGAGGTGGTGAGGTGGTGGTATGGGCAGCCATCAGGGACTGAGTGTGGGGAGCCTGCTGGCTGCTGGCCTGGCCTGGCCAAACTGGAATTGCTATTCTTGGCCACCGCAGGGCAGTCCACACTGTCTTCTGGAATCCTTATCACACAGGAAGAACATTTTCCTGACATTTAGGTGCTTTTATATTCATCTCAAAACACATCCTGAACTCAGGGCCTGGCAGGTATTCTTATGTTGTCTTCTAGAGTAGGTAGTTCTGCTTCTCTCATCCAGCCACTTTCCCTGTTGAAACATGGATATCTTTCTACACATTACCTCCATGGTTTGGAATGGAAAAGACTGCTTTTCTTTTGTTCCACCTTTCAGATTCAATACAGAAAGAAGCCCTTTGGATGCAGTTATCCTTCATCAGGAAGGAAAAAAAAAGTAAGCAACTGATAATGGGTCATCTTCTGCAGTTTGCTAATTATTGAGAAATTATTCTGCAAGCTGAAGGCTGATGTTTAATTTGAAACAGGTGCTTGGGATGTGGTACTGCCTGGAGAGCCAATTCCTCAGGAATTGTGCTTTTCTCTCAGACAACTTCTAAAACCTCCCCTACTTTCCTCAATAAGACCATTTCTCTCTTCACCAGAGTAGAAGAGGCACATCTTACCTTTTCATTGAAAACATGGAATCCAGGAGAGATGCTCCCAGGTTCTTTTCATCAGAATTTCAAGCCTCTCTGAATCTGTACACTTTGAACCAACTATCTTCCTTTGAAACGGAGGAAATCTCCTCCTTGTCCTTAAAGAGTAATATTCCCACTTCTGTCCAGCAACCTATCCATATTTGCCTCCTTCTCATGAATTTGCTTCTAGAAATTTCTCCTTTACTTCTTGAATCACAGATCTCCTTCTTTCTATGAGGTTATTCCTTCCAATTCACAAATAAATTCTAGTAGCTCTTGTATTAAAAGGAATGCAGATCTGTCCTTCACTCCACCTGTATCCTTTATCTCCCTCCAATTCACAGCAAAACTTGCTAAAAGCAGTCCTGAATTTCCATGGGAAGCTTTATCCTTTTTTGTTTTAAACTTTTCTCTTTCCTTCTGGTTCCTCATTCCTTTGATTGTATCTTTTTCTCCAGCTTTCTGAGTCCAACTTCCTCAAGTGGTTTGTTATCCCTTCTCATTTTCCTGACCTCTAAGTACACCAGCCCTCTTCTCCCCATGTGCCCTTCTTTCCTAAGTAATTGCAGACATTTCCATTCCTTTAATTCCCCCCCCCCTCACCGCCTTCTTTTTAAGGTACCAGGGAGTGAACCCAGGGCCTTGTGCATGCTACATAAGTGTTTTACCACTAAGCTACATTCCCAGCCTGTCCTGACACCTGTTCCTTTAAATATCACCTCTAAAGTAATGTCACATTCAGTCCAGGCCTCAACTTTGATCTTTATACTTGTAAGAGTTCCAACTTCTGTTTGGAATCTCTATTTAGATGTCTCATGTGCATCTCAAACCTAGACCATCCAAAAGGAAACCCTTGGTTTGTCATTCCAAACCTGCTTCACAGCCAGTTTTTGTATGTATTGGTATGTATTCAACGACTGGGCTACATCCCCAGCCCTTTTTAAAATTTTACTGAATCAGAATCTCCCTAAGTTGCCAAGACTGGCGTTGAAGTTGTGATTCTCCTGAGTAGCTGGGATGACCACCAAGCCTGGCTCAGTCTTTGCCTTTTTGTTTGTTTGTTTATTTTCTGTACTGAGGATTGAACTCTGGGGCACTCAACCACTGAGCCACATACCCCAGCCCTATTTTGTATTTTTTTTTCTTTTTTTTTTATTGGTTGTTCAAACATTACAAAGCTCTTGACATATCATATTTCATACATTAGATTTTATTTAGAGACAGCAACTCATGTTCACTGAGGCTAGCTTTGAATTTGCCATTCTTTGGCCTCAGCCTCCTGAGCCGCAGGGATTATAGGCACGAACCACTGCTCCTGGCAATCTTTGCCATTTTAATAAATGACATAACCATCCACCCAGTTGCACAAGTCAACAACCAAGGAGTTGTCTGTAGTTTTTATATGCACTTATCAGTTATACTGGTGAGTTCTTGCTGCAAAAAAATACTTCAGATGTTGCAGATCTCACCATGTTCTGCTTGTTCTGGTTCAAGCCGAATCACCTATCCTAAGGGCTGGGTTTGGGGTGAAGCAAGTGAGGAGCCTAGGACACAATATTTAAAGAGGCTCCCTGGGAGTGAATGACCCTCTTGCCTGGCCCTAAACCCTGGCCTTCCTAACCTTATCTCATCATTACCCACCCTCCCTAGCTGTACTCCACCTAAACCAGAATTTTTCCTGCTCCTCCCAGATCTAGCCCAGGCCCTGGAAAAGACTAAGCACTTTTTGCCTTCACAGATTTTGCATCTTTACCTGGTGCCCTCTTCCTCCTGCTCAGCACCTGGCTGCCTCCTTCTCTTCTTCTGGTCTCTGTCTATAATTCTACTTCTTCAACTTGGCCTTTTTTGACCATTGTATCTAAAATAGACCTTTCCTCCCAAATTAATTCCTATTTTTGGCATTTCAACTCCACCACAATGGTTGTCACAATCTATAAAATATTTTTTATTTATATACTTAATTATTTAATTCCCAGAACTACCACTAGAAATAAGCTCCATGAGGTCAGTACCCGTACCTGTTAATAAATCACTGAATCTCATGGCTCAATACCTGGCATACAGAATTAGTCTACAAATATTGATTAAACAAATTAATAATAAACAAATATATGAATGAGCCAGACTACCCTCCCGGAAAGTTATCTTATAAAGATAATGTTTCTGGAAAAACCACATATAAAGTAAAGAACATACAATGTACAAGTTAAGATCTTAGAAATTAGACTCTGAATTCAAATTCAGCTCTACCATTTGCAGCTCCCTGAACTTGGGGAAGATTTAATAGATTTCTCATCTATTGTAAAAGGAGATGATAATAGTACCTACCTTGCAGGGTTGGTGTGAGGATTAAATGAGATAACTAGGCAAAGTCCTTTGTATAGTTTCTAATACATACTAAATAAAATTAATCCATAGACTAAATACTTGTCTATGAAAACTCAGGAGACCTGGAGCTTGAACTACTATTTTCATATATAAAGACAATTAGTTATCAACAATTCAATCCTCTTCACTAAATATTTATAGGGCCATCTATTATGTACCAATTTCTATGCTAGGCAAACATGAACTGCTAACCAGCTGCTAAGCAAACATGAACTAGACATGCATGGTTCCTGTTCCCAGGAGCACTGGATGTTGCTTTGTCACAGTCATTAGAGCCAGCTGCATAGAGCAATGCCCCATTCTGTTCTCCCTCCTATGGCTTTGGGAGTGAGACCCCACATTGGGACCAACAGAACATTCTCCCCTGTGGGAATCTACCTGGTCTGCTCTGAATAATCTGGAGTGCTCCATAACCAAATTTTAACTCAATACAATATTGTTTACCATGTATTACTAACTTCAAAGAAGTCTGTTTTCAAGCCACCTTTCTACAGCCATACCCTCCACTACTTCCCATCAGCTGAGACTCAGACTTAACCTTCAGGGAAACAGCTTTGAGAACTCAAGTTCCAGGAAGCCATTCCCAATCCCTAGATTGGGTTGTGGGCTCCTCGGTGGCACCCCATTAGCAGGCAATGTTGCCTCTGCCACAGCCTTTAGCACACTAAATTGTGAGCCTCCACTTCTTCACTAAACTATGAACCCCTTGAAAACAGGTGGCACATCTTATTCTTGTCAGTGTACATCCTAGGTGATCCATAAAATTATAATAAATAATGAGACTTCTTTTCCATGACTTGGAGGCTTTGAGGGATTGGACAGGGTGGTGGTGCCAGTAGTGCTGAAACAAGATTGTGAGGATGAGGGGCAGAGGAGAATATCTATACTGTTACACACAAACTATGCAACAGATTTCTAAAATGCTTATGGAAATATTATGGAATAAATCAAGTTCCAAAATAAAACAAAAAAAAATCTCACCTGTGTTGGAACATTTTCCCAGAAGATTAAAATAAGAGGATGGATAAAAGAGGGGTGGAATACTCATGTATGTCCAAGCTAAGACACTTTGTTTTTAATTTCCTTTAAACCAGTTTCACACTACAGGTGAACATCCATGTGTAAAATGTATAATAATTTAATGAGCTAAAATAATAATTTTTAAAAACCAGACTAGAATAGGACATATTAGAAGGTATTAATACAGTGAGAATAAACATTATTTCACAAAAATTTAATGACGTTTGTATAGATTGTGATATAATGCATATTTATTACTATAAATTGTGGTTTATAGGGGCTGGGATTGTGGCTCAGTGGTAGAGTGCTCACCTAGCACATGTGAGGACCTGGGTTTGATCCTCAGTACCACATAAAAATAAATAAACAAAATAAAGATATTGTGTCCAACTACAACTAAAAAAAATAAATAAATATTTTAAAATGTTGTGGTTTATAAATGTGGAAAGCCACTGTTTGGTATATGCCTCTAAGTTGGAGCCACACAACTAGAGAAGCTATAGCATTTCCCAGGAAAAGAACTCAATGGAAGAGGAGAAAAGAGGTGAATCTTCCCACTGAGGGACTCTAGAGGAAAGATATAGGCCTTGAAGAGGGAGTAAGCATTTGGTACAGAGCCATGGTACAAGGAGTGGGGCCAGGCCATTGTGCACTACAGCAGGAGACAGCATCTCTCTACTACTTGAGACCCAGCCCACCAACATCTTACCTTGCAGTGTACCCACAAGTCCAGTACTAACTCCTGAAATGATATCACTGAGCAGCCATTCCTTGATTCGGTATTTGGGGAGCCAGTCCAAGATGGGCAAGAGAGACTTTAGCACACCAAAAGCTCTCTTTCTTGAACAACTGTCAAAAAACGAGAAAGCTGGATTTCCAATTCAATTTCAGTCATAACCAATTATAAACCCTAGAATTATAGAATGAACTCCTCTGATGTTTATAACCATTTAGAAAAATAATTTATGGAAAATACTAGCACTGGAGAGCTACCACGATTTTGCCAAGAATTGTAGCTATCCTTTTAAGTGCACTGTACTAGGAAACACAGGATTAAATGTCCCCTCCTCTCCTCCACCTTTTTAATCCTGTGAGAAAATATCCCTACACAAGAACCCATTTTCTGGTCCAGTCAAAGAGGGATCAATGTGGAGTCTCTAAGTGGAGATTAATTTTTAGACTTCTAACCTAGGTACCGCCTTCTTTTCTTTAAACAAAAAATAAACACACTGAATATTTTGGCAATACAAGCTTGGAATCAGTTAAGAAAACCTTAACATAATAAATGTATACCTTGTAGCAACTTTAAATTCAACAACCTACACACATAAGAGGAAAAATATCAACAATAATAGGTAAACATTTGACTCATAATAGAAAATTGTGTTTTTAAAAATTATGACATTTATGAAACAATTGGAAATGTTTAATGCTGAGCCAATGTTTTTATGTTAAGGAATTGGTTTTAGGTAGATAACAATATGTGGATATATAGAAAGAATATATATATATATATTTTATACATTATGTATAAGTTATACATATATATTTTATATATAATTTTATGCATTTTTTTTTCGTTCTGGGGAATGAACCCAGAGGGGCGCAAGCCAAACCCGGACAGGGCCTTCCTAAATTACTGAAGCTGACCTCAAACTTGTGATCTTCCTGTGTCAGACTCCCAAGTCTCTGGGATTACTGGACTGGGACACCACACCTGGCTTGTGGTTATATTTTTAAATAGTTCTTAGAGGTACATACTAAAAGATATATACAGTGGGCCCTCCTTTTCCATGCATTCTGAGTCAACCACAGATCAAAAATCAGGGGGAAAAATTGTGTCTATATTGAACATATGTAGATTCTTACTTCCTAAGTAGCACACTATAACAACCATTTACACAGCATTTACATATGTTGGTATAACAAGTAATTTATATATATTATAGCCATTTTATATAAGAGACTTGAGCATCCTTAGATTTTGGTATCTTCCAGATTCCTGGAGCCAATCTCCTATGGATGTCAGGGTAGAACTGTAACTGAAAAAGATACTACGTGGGATTTCCTTCAAAATATTGGAGGGGTAAGGGAATGGTTGTAGGTAAAATAAGATTAACTAAATTGGTCATTGTTGAAGCTAAGGTGATGAGTAAAAACTTTGCAGGGGGGATTATTATACCTTTCCATATAATTTAAGTGTTGCATAATAAAAGGGTAAAAAAAAAAAAGAAAAGAAATTTGCAATTAGTTGACTGTTTTCTAAGTTCTTCATGTTTGGATTTTCTAATTCTGTGTGGCACATTTGGGCTTAGAGACAAGGTGGTTCTCTGTAGGGGTCCCCCCCGTCTCCTGGTGAAATAATTGGAGTACACCACTTGGAGCTGTTTTCTTTTATCCAGGTCTCTAACTAAATGATATCAAGCCCCATTCTCTTGAGGGTTTCAAGGACTCCTGGCCTGGTGGTGGGTTTATCCACCATTTCCTTTAAATGAGCCGTTTTCTTCCCTTCTTTCCTCATGCTTCCTTCAAAAGAAGGCAACACAGAGACCCACAGTACCTCAAGGTACGCTCCAGGTTTCATCAAGAAAAAAGAGATGGGGCTCCGGGAATCCACTCCCTCGGAAGGCGAGTTTCCCCAGGCAAGAGTTACAGTGATTCCTGGCGGGAGACTGATGGAGCCACCGTCGGACAAGGAAAGGTGGCATTGTGGTGGTGAGACTCAGAATCAAGTCTCTCAGAGAAGCGCCGGGCAGTGCTGCGGGTAGGGCGGGAGCCCTCCACCCCGCACACCCAGACGCCCCGCTCCACTTCTCTCCACGCCTCTGGCCAACTACCTGCAGCTCTTGGCCAGGCTCTCCCGCAGAGTCCTGCGCTCCTGCAGGCGCCGCTCGTGCTGTTGCTGGAAGGCGAGCTCGTTGTAGACCGGCCGCGACACCACGTAGCTGCAGCTGTACTCTGGTAGCTGCGGCGGATCCGATCTGCTGCCCGGCGCTGCCATGACCTGCGAACCCGAGGACAACCAAGAGGGAGGAGAAGCGGCAAGGGAGGACAATCGGAGTTGAAGAGCAAGAAACAGGCTGTTAGCATCTGTTAGCTGCCTCTGGGCGCCACCTGTTGTGGCTGACCGTGGCGAGCCTGGTCTGCGTCCTGCAGCCCTCCGCGCCAGCGACACGCAGTTCCACGGCACACACGGCCAACCTGGAGTGGGGCACCTGAGCACCTTCGTGTCCCGTGGCCTACACCTACTGTCGGGGACTGCCCCAGTCTGAAGATAGAGATCCTTATTCTGAGGGCTTCCAGATTTGGAACAAGTCGCCGCCTCGGGCAGCTGGGGCGCTGTCCGCGTCCTGAAATCTCTACAAACCACCCTTCGGACAGGGGCCTCAAGAGCTTGCCAGGGGAAAAGCGCCCTCCCTTCCTGTACCAGACCCAGGGCACTGTTCCAGGCACGTAGTGGGAGGGGTGCACCAAGCAGGGCGTGGGACCCCCAAGATGTGCTCCTGATGTCCAGAGGTTGCCTACGCTGCAGGCAAATTCCAGCGATAGGTCCCAGCTCTCCTGCGGGGTAGAGGAGGAGGACCCCACGTCTTGTTTTCTAACCCCCTTACTCTCAGCTTCTCAGAAAGAAGGCTGTACTGCCCCCTGCCCGCCCGCAGCTGCCCCTAGTTGTGCGAGGGCGGGGCGGAGTGAGGTAGTCTTCAGCGGTGAACTCACCTGTTCGCTCCTGCGCTCCGCCCGGAATGCCCGGGGACAGCCGCTCCGCAGCCTTTATAGCACAGACAGAAGTCGGTGAGACGTTTTATTTATGGAGCAACAGAGACACCTTGGTCAAAAGGAAGGACACAAGGACTGCGGCCTTTCCCCACGGACCCTACCGGGAAAGGAATCCTTTCCCTGCCGCGTTCTTTCCCTTTCCCGAACCTGGAGGGCTGAGTGTGTTACTGGCTGTCACACAGGGGCCACCCAGATCTTCACTCACCCCCCAATTACTAAGGCGGGTGGCGAGGTCAGGGGCGGGGCAGCCCCTGTGGTATTCTTTTCCGGAGAGCAGCACCAGCTGGGAGGGCTGACCTTGATTCCTAGGTTGTGTGAATCCACGCTCCACAGTCTAGCACAGGTGCTCTCATGGGGTGTGGGGGGCGGGGAGGAGAGGAGGCGTGATTGGTTTTGTGTATTAATAAGACTTTGGATTTCTAGAAAGTATTTAGGAGTACTCAGTGGGTGATGGTTAGAGTGTTCATAATTTACTCGTAGATTTAGGTACATGTTCTGTGTACCTATTTCACAAAGTCAAGTGTTCAGGTGGCCCCTCTGGTTCTTTATTTTTTCTCATGCACCTGGACAATCAGGGAGGGAATAAGCTGGACTAGACAAGAATCAAGACTCAAGGGTGAGGGGCAGTCAGATCTATTCTACCTCATCAGTGTGTTGTCTTCTGTGGGTAAGTACATGCTGGGATAAATCTTGCAAAAACTAATACATGATTAAGATGAACATCAAAGGAAGGATTATCACCTGAGTTTCAATGTTTTGAGGTAAATGAAGAAGAGGCTTCAAAATATGGACCTTCTGGACACTGTCAGTTACCCATATTGAAAATACAGAATATGACTCATCTTTCGGCTCCTGGAAACAGTACTCCTCAGTGTAAATTCCCTAGTCAACACCATGCAAGCATGCCTGTTTTTCTGAGGTATGACTCAACAGCTTTCAACAGATTTTCAAAGACTTTCTTGACCCAAGGAAGTTAAGAACTAGCTGGGTGTGGTGGCTCTGGCCAGTAGGCCCAGACACTCAGGAGGCTGAGGTGGAAGGATCACTTGAGCTGGTGAGTTCAAGACCAGCTTGGGCAACACAGTGAGCCTCTGTCTCTGAGAGGAAGAGAGAGGAAGAAAAAGGCCACTGACGAAGGAACCTAAAAAACAATTGAGGTCATGAAGTGAATTCTTATCCACTTGCAGAGAAGAGGGAAAGAATCACTTGTGTGTTATGGTTTCATATACCAGAGTTGCTTAACTAAAGGCTATTTTGTCCCCTCCCACCCATGACAATATTAACAGACATTCTTGGTTTTCACATCTGGAAGAATGTTACTGAGATCTATTGGGTAGAGGTCAGGGGTGCTTCTAAACATCCAATAGTGGAGTTCATCATCCTGCAAAGGTTTTGTGTATGATTCAATTTTTACATTTACTAATAATTTCCCACCTGTATTAAATATACTCATCTTTCCATATATTTGTATGTGTGTATGTATTTCTTACAAATAGCACGTTGTGGTTGAATATATAACTCAGCTCCACTGAAATAGAGAGAAAAGTTTATTTTAAAGTAGATTCTGAATATGCCTATATTATATACCCTTACACATACTTTCAAGGTCCAGTTAAAATGCCATCTTTTCCATCAACATTCCTTGATGCTTTCAGTCAGAATTAATATAACCCTTTTTGTGGTTTCTCTTGGCACCTTATCTGATTCTCAAGATGTGGTCTCATAATTACCTTAGTATCATATTTGTATTTACCAATAAGTCTTACCTTCCTCACTAAACAAAAACTTCTTGAGGACAAGCAATATATCTCCCTCCAACAATTATTACCTTCTATCATGTTCTCTTAACAGACTTACTTATAGCCCAAACATGTTTTTTAAAACTAAAAATTATATTACATGTTTGTCAACATTTTGTTTTTCAGGTAAGATTATGATATAGGTAAGTACATGTGGATTTTTCTAGCCTGGGCCAATGGCTGTCTAGGATTCCAGAATATCAACTCATATATACAATTTCACAGAAAATCACCTAGATGATTCAAGCCTTTCTTTAATTTAGGGCCATTCTGTACAAACATAAAGACAACCATATATTTATTTTAGTCTGGTCCAGTCAGTCCTCTGAGCCACTTTGCTTCAGGACTTGGCAATGGTTTGGTGGTGATAGTGATTCAGAGGATTAAGGAGTGAGATAGAGATGGCAGAAGGACAGAGGAGAAAACAGACTATCAAATAACACCAGGAGTGAACAGTGTTAATTCTCTTGACGAATAAACAGAATTTTTGGAAAGGCAAATGTATAAGAATTCCATTCAATAATCACTATATGTCCTGCATGTAAATGGATGAAGATATTGCTTCTTTTTTCTATTAAATACTTTTACTATAGCAGAAATAAACAGTGCATGAGCAGAATAGCATTTCCATTACAAAATTCTATAAGAGGATAAAACTTCTTTTCTCATAGGTAAGAGTCTGTGAAGTTGGCTGTATTTTAAAAACAGAGAAGAGTAGGAGGTGATAACAGTTTTCCCTCCTCACACAATTTACTTGTTATATTAAACACATAAGATTACTCACTTGGGCTTTACAAATCAAGCTTCACCTATTTTACATAGAGGTGGGTGGTTCTTATTTATCAGAATTTAATCATATCCAGGATTCTTTCCAAGAGATAGATGTGTCACTTCAAAATAAATGTCAGACAATAATACTGTTACTTTAGATTTTTAATTAGCAGATAATGATGACTTAAAAATGTATATTCTGATTTATCATATCATTTGGGGTGTTAGATATACACATTCATTCATTCGTTCACTCAAGGGTTTATTAAAAATTTTTTTTGTTGGTCATGGATAGAATGTTGAACAAAGTCATGCACCTAGCCTCATTTGTGGATGTAGCAGATACTTACCAAATGGTCACAACAAATATATACTATTTCAATGATTTTTAAAATGCATATTTTCTACAATTTATTAGGATTCATCTTACAATTGATGATGTGCAATGGTTCATTTGGCAGCATTTTTTTCTTTTAGTCAAAAATAATTTTGAGCTTTATAATCAATGGCATCCTAAAACTAATGAAATATATATTTCTATACTTTCATAGTATATCTATGCTTTTAAGTGACTATTTGTGCTACAAGAATGATTAGATTCCTTTGTTTATTTAAGTGCAGCTAATTTTGTTACATTTTCCTTATCTAAACAGGAATATAGTGGAAATTTTTTTTTTTTATTTTCACAACATAAGAAGTTCTGTAATCAAGAATTGCAGAAGAAACATTCAAATAATGCCCCAAATGCTATTTTAAAAAGCAACCTAGAGATTAATTTTTATTATTTTCTACATTTGAAGTGTGATGTATAAAGCCTATTTATTATTTATGTGAAGTTGAATCATTTTTGCTGGGAGGCAGTGTTTGGAATTCTAGGGATGAAAACCAGGGCCTCCTACATGATAGGCAAGCACTCTACCATGGAGCTATATCCCCAGCCCCAGTTATCCACATTTAAAACTGAAACCCTGCTCACATTGCAGATTGGCATTCATGGTCAATAGAAAACCCCAAAAATCACTAGGGAAAGAGGTAATTTTCCCCCAGAAAAATTTAACCCTAATTTTGATCTTTTATTTTTATTATGGTTGTTAAGTTTCTTCTCTCAATTTTCCTGACTTCTCCTGCTCTGAACAATTTTCTGAGCTTATTGTCAATAACCATACAGTTTTGCCCTCAATTGTTTTGTTTCCTGCATGTTACTTTAAAAAAAACAATATCTTTATTATTTTTATGTGATTGGAGCTGAGGATTGAATCCAGGGCCTCACATGTTCTAGGCGAGTGTTCTACCGCTGAGCCACAACCTCAGCCCAGCCCCACTGCGTGTTACTGTTTTTTCCTCTCTCCAGTTATAAGATATGCTCCTTAAGGATATAAATAACATATATCTTTTATGGTATTAAAAAATAAGATGTGTCTATAGTAGAAAATTTGGAAGGGCTGGGGTTGTGGCTCAGTGGTAGAGCGCTCATCTAGCATGTGCGAGGCCCTGGGTTCAATCCTCAGCACCAAGTAAAAATAAATAAAGGTATTTAAAAAAAGACAAGAAAATTTGGGAAATATATTAAATTAAAATTAAAAATGGCAATCACTTCTTATCACATTGCTCACATAATAACAGTTATGAATTTTGCTTATTTCGTCTTTTTTCCTCTGTGCATACAAAGGTGTTCCCTCCCTCCCTCCCTCTCCTTTTCTTTTCTTTTTCTCTCTCTTTCTCTCCCTCCCTCCCTCTCTCTCTCTTTCTTTCTTTCCCAGTGGCACTTGACCACTGAGCCACATCCCCAGCCCAATTTTGTAATTTATTTGAAAACAGTCTCGCCAAGTTGCTTAGTCCCTCACTCCTCCTGCCTCAGCCTCCTGAGGTGCTGGGATTACAGGCATGCACCACTGCTCCCAGCAAAGGCGTGCATTTTAATTAAGATTATAATGTTAGGGGCTAGGGCTGTGGCTCAGTAGTAGCGTGCTTGCCTAGCATGTGTGAGGTACTGGGTTCGATTCTCAGCACCATATATAAATAAATAAATGAATAAAGGTCCATCAATAACTAATAACAATTAAAAAATATTATGTTAGCCTGTTTTGTTTCCTACCTTGGCAAATTATGATAATATAATAGGAACTGGGTAAATACTTGCTTGATTGATTGGCTGATGATAGAATGTTAAGTAATCACTAGATAGGAATAAAAGTAATTTTATTTTAAATGTTTTTAAGAGACAGAATCTCATTATGTTGTTCCAGCTGATCCTGAACCCCTGATCTCAAGTGATCCTCCTTCCTTAGCTTCCTAGGTAACTGGGAGTAGAGGTGTATGCCACCATGCCCAGATTCAAATTAAACTAACTTTAAAAGGTGAGAATCCACCCTTTGAAAAAAAATTCTTTGTAATCCTTATCTGGCAATCTTTGCAGTTTAAAACAAATTTAGTGTGACTAAAATTACAATTCAATAAATTTCTCAGGCTATAGGGGAGATCCTACTTTGGGGGGGGAGGGTAATGAGAATTTAACCCCAGGGGCACTTTACTACTGAGCTAAATCCCCAGCCCTTTTTATTTTTTGTTTTGAGACAACATTTCCCTAAGTTGCCTAGG